TGATTCAGCTGCAGTGTTGAGTAGTGTGAAGCAGGTCAGATAGGGGACACTTGTTTGTGGAGATGATGATGCTGTTAAATGGGAGTGGTGGTAAGGTTTTGCTGCATTCCCGCCCACGTGGGTGTGGAGGGTAATGAGAAGGCCGATGTGGTGGCTAAGAGTGCTGTGAGGAGAGAGGGGGTAGATATTCAGGTCCCACTGGGCTGCATGGAAGTCAAGTCCTTGATCCAGGCAAAAGGGCTCAATCTTTGGCAAAGGGAGTGGGATGCTAGTAGTAAGGGGAGGCAATTATATCACGTGCGTCGGTCAGTAAAAGAAGAGGTGGGGAGTATGGGATGTAGGAGCGAGGAAGTTGTGTGGAGTAGACTACGGTTTGGGCACACAGGTTAGAATGCCACGTTGTGGATGATAGGGAGACATGAAACAGGTCTGTGTGATGAGTGTTTAGTGGAGGAAACGGTGGAGCATGTGTTGATATTTTGTGAACTGTATGATGCAGATAGGGAGAGATTGTGTGAAAGGGTTAGAGAGGCTAGATGGGGTTTGGATGTTGTAGTGGCGGGAGGAAAGGGGAGGGAAGTAGTGTCTAGGGCTCTATTTCACTTAGAGGAACAGGACTAATGAAGATAATTTAATGTAGGTAGGCCGTGACTGGCCTCACACTCCAGTACAGTAGGTGGCGATGTATGCACCTTAAAAGTTGGATGCAATCTGCCAACCCAATCCCAAAAAAGAAAAAGAAAGCCAAACTCAGTAAGAAGTATCTCGCTTAAACTCTGTGCGTCTGAACCGTGTAGTGGATGGGGGAAAAGAAGAAAGCCTGTCGGTATTACTGATGTTTGATGAAGAGTATCTCCCTTCACATGTGAAGAAGGGATATGTTAGATATGCGGTGAGAGCTTTTGTGTCCAAGGTGTTGTTTTGCCGGAGTTGCAAAAAATATGGACATCTATCAAGTGTGTGACGAAGGAATGTTGTTGAAGATTCTGAGGGTGTACGATGTTGTAATTGTGATGGCAATCACGTTCCCAATTCCCCGGAGTGCCCGGTTAGGGTAAATGAGTATGAAGTGGCAAGGGTCAGGGCTATACAGCATGTCTCCTACACGGAGGCACGTGAAGTAGTTGAAGGAGCGAGGGGAGCTGAAGATATGCCGGTGGATGCTCCGCAGACTGGGGAGATTCAGAGTGTTGTTCAACAGTTGAGGGAAACTGATATGCTGATCGTGAACAAGGTGGATTTTATGGTGTTTATTGAGCATGTGATTAACTGTACAAATGAACAGAAAGTCCAAGAAACTGGACATAATAGTATCTGCGGCTGAAAGGTTTTTGGGTTTCCAGAACTTCACTGCTGAAACATTGCAAAGAATAATGTCCGAAGATGCTCTTCCTTCTCAGGCCCCAGAGCCTCTAGGGATGGGCGTTGGCAGTTTAATCTGAATAAAGGAGTACATTGAGTTTAGTTTTATTGTGTTAATTAGAACAGTAGGTGGTGGCATGCACCTATAGCATTTGTTTGTGGATCGCAGTAACATCAAAGAAGAAGACCCCGTACAGTAGGTGGTGGCAATACACCAATAGGTGTAGTCTGCCATAAAACTTTAAAGAAGAAGAACTCTGGATTTCCGAGCCATCCAAATGACTGTGGGGATAGCAACAAAAGTAGGAGACGGTGAGGACGAGGCGCCATAGTGTCGGATGAAGGTTTTGGGAAAATTGCGGAAGCGGATGTTCTGTTTGAATGGGATGACGTGGAGATGAGAGTGAGAAGAATTGGATTACAGTGGTGAATGCAAAAGGAATAAGAGAAGTACAGTGGTAGTGGAAACTAGTAAAAACAAACCTAGTTCTGAGTCTTTTGGTTTGAATAATGGTTTTGGATCGATGTTGTTACCTGGGAGATCAGTTTTGAAGTTTCTATTAAAATTGTGGATGAGGTGGCGTTGATGATAATAACGAGAAGTGGGCTTAATTCGTTTTTGTGTGTTTCTAAGAAAGAGAAGGAGTGTGCTTTGCGCATCAAGAAGATGTCGGATTGGAATGTGTCGTGTGGATCTTCAAAGCATGGTGCCTATCAAGGGTGTTATCTCTGGGGGTGGTGCTAGAAGTAAATGCAAAGGATATACAGTTGAAGTCGGAAGTTTACATACACCTTAGCCAAATATATTTAAACTCAGTTTATCAAAATTTCTGACATTTAATCCTAGTAAAAATTCCCTGTCTTAGGTCAGTTAGGATCACCACTTTATTTTAAGAATGTGAAATGTCAGAATAACAGTAGCGAGAATGATTTATTTCAGCTTTTGTTTCTTTCATCACATTCCCAGTGGGTCAGAAGTTTATATACACTCAATTAGTATTTGGTAGTATTGCCTTTAAATTGTTTAACTTGGGTCAAACGTTTCGGGTAGCCTTCCTCAAGCTTCCCACAATAAGTTTAGTGAATTTTGGCCCATTCCTCCTGACAGAGCTGGTGTAATTGAGTCAGGTTTGTAGGCCTCCTTGCTCGCACACGCTTTTTCAGTTCTGCCCACAGATTTTCTATAGGATGAGGTCAGGGCTTTGTGATGGCCACTCCAATGATCCAACTACCTCATCCCCATATTGTTATTTATGTTGCTAATTTGCACCCCAGTATCTCTATTTGCACATCATCTTTTGCACATCTATCATTCCAGTGTTAATACGAAATTGTAACTATTTTGCACTATGGCCTATTTATTGCCTTACCTCCATAATTTACTACATTCGCACACACTGTATATATATTTTGTGTTGTATTTTTCACTATGTTTTGTTTACCCCATATGTAACTCTGTTGTTTTTATCGCACTGCTTTGCTTTATCTTGGCCAGGTCGCAGTTGTAAATGAGAACTTGTTCTCAACTGGCTTATCTGGTTAAATAAAGGTTAAATAAAAAAATAAAAAATAAAAAATACCTTGACTTTGTTGTCCTTAAGCCATTTTGCCACAACTTTGATAGTATGCTTGGGGTCATTATCCATTTGGAAGATCATTTGTGACCAAGCTTTAACTTCCTGACTGATGTCTTGAGATGTTGCTTCAATATATCCACATAATTTTCCATCCTCATGATGCCATCTATTTTGTGAAGTGCACCAGTCCCTCCTGCAGTAAAGCACCCCCACAGGTGCTGCCACCCCCGTGCTTCACGGTTGGGATGGTGTTCTTCGGTTTGCAAGCAACCCCCTTTTTCCTCCAAACATAACAATGGTCATTATGGCCAAACAGTTCTATTTCGGTTTCATCAGACCAGAGGACTTTTCTCCAAAAAGTACGATCTTTGTCCGCATGTGCAGTTGCAAACCGTAGTCTGGTTTTTTTATGGCGGTTTTGGAGCAGTGGCTTCTTCCTTGCTGAGCGGCCTTTCAGGTTATGTAGATATAGGACTCGTTTTACTGTGGATATAGATATTTGTTTCCTCCATCTTCACAAGGTCCTTTGCTGTTGTTCTGGGATTTATTTGCACTTTTCGCACCAAAGAATGTTCATCTCTAGGAGACAGAACACGTCTCCTTCCTGAGCGGTATGACGGCTGCGTGGTCCCATGGTGTCTATACTTGCGTACTATTGTTTGTACAGATGAACGTGGTACATTCAGGCGTTTGGAAATTTCTCCCAAGGATGAACCAAACTTGTGGAGGTCTACAATTTTGTTTCTGTGGTCTTGGCTGATTTATTTTGATTTTCCCATGATGTCAAGCAGAGGCACTGAGTTTGAAGGTAGGCCTTGAAATACATCCACAGGTACACCTCCAATTGACTCAAATGATGTCAATTAGCCTATCAGAAGCTTCTAAAGCCATGACATCATTTTCTGGAATTTTCCAAGCTGTTTAAAGGCACAGTCAACTTAGTGTATGTAAACTTCTGACCCACTGGAATTGTGATACAGTGAATTATAAGTTAAATAATCTGTCTGTAAACAATTGTTGGAAAACTGACTTGTCATGAACAAAGTAGATGTCCTAACCGACTTGCCAAAACTATAGTTTGTTAACAAGAAATTTGTGGAGTGGTTGAAAAACGAGTTTTAATGACTCCAACCTAAGTGTATGTAAACTTCTGACTTCAACTGTACGTGAAGAATTGGATCAAGTGGTTGGTGCACAACAACTGACCCGCATGGTGGATGGAGTGCGGAAGCCCTCTCCATCCATTCTATTGTTTTTTAAATGAAGAGTCTCTCCCTTCTCACGTGTATTTGGGTTATATGAGATTCCCTGTGAGAGCCTTCGTGCCCAAACCCATGCAGTGTGATAATGTACATTATTTGGTCAAGTGTATGTAGACGGGAGGAGTATTACATGCCAGCTGAGCCTAAATGCTGCAATTGTGGTGGTGAACATGCACCTGAATTTCTGAAGTGTCCTGTTAGGGTGAAGGAGATGGAGGTGGCAAGAATAAGGGCTGTCCAGAATGTCTCCTATCCAGAGGAATTGAGAAGAGTGGAAGAAAGGTGTGAAGTTGAAGAAGTAATGGTAGTAGGAGTAGAGACACAAGATTATGTTCTTTATCAACAGAGGGATCCTGACATGTTGCATGTTAAAAAGTGGACTTTGTAGCGTTTATTACTTTGGTTATCAACTGCACAGTGCAAAAGGAGAGGAAGTCGGAGAAAATAGGCATCATTGTGAAAGCAGCTGAGCGTTTTTTGGGACTCAGAATCTTTTCTGCAGAGGCATTACAAGGAATCCTGTCGATGAATGTGACTGAAGGAGTGGGATGGTTGTTTTGATTTATTTTTGTATTTTGTATTATCTCTGGTTCCCGCCCACAATCCCTTTACCCGCAATGGAATATATTATTTATGTTTTGTTTCAATACCCCGTACAGTAGGTGGGGGCAATACAACAATAGGTGTAGTCTGCCATAAAACTTTAAAGAAGAAGAAGAAGAAGAAGAAGAAGAACTCTGTGCGTCTCTGCTAGAAGTTGCACTGTTTCTGACCTATAAAGCTAGAACCACTTGACAAAATGTTCCGAAGAAAACTGACAGCGTTGGATTATCATAACCCCTCTGGATTTGACTGCAAAGGTAGCAATAACAAAGCCACGATAAACGAGCTATCTGCTAGTGAATGACGTGCACTTTCAGAGCCACCCATGGCCATGCTCAAAATAGGTAGCTATAGCATCTAGCTAGCTAGTTGTTACCGTACTATCTTTGATGTTAAGTCTAAAACATTTCGATACAGCCATGTCTGTAATATGTATGCATGATTTGTTTATATTAGCAGTGTTTATGTCATACAAAATTATTAACCTGTGAGTCTTGTTAGGTGGTCAGGTATTGTACGTTTTGTGCATTAGCCCAGCTAACTAGCTTTTTGGGAGCTAGCTAAGCCAGATAGCGTAGCTACTTTACTAACAGAAGTGGAGACAGAACGCAACTGGGTAACGTTAGATAATTCGCTAACGTTAGCTAGGCTAGGGGTGGCATCTGAAAGTGATTACTCTATTCCTTGTTGGTATATTATAAGTGAATAGTCTTAGGAATTTGACAGAATCTTCTTATGTGAATTTCTGCCGGTTCAATATAAATGTGGTGGGTACTTATATTTGTCCTATTACATAACACATTATATATTATTCCCACTGGCTCCCCATTTGTTATAACACAGTCTATAATTTAACACAGGAAATCTATTATTACCACTGACACATAGTTGTGCAGGTCAACTAGCTTTGCAGAGAGTATATGTGCGTCTAGTTATTGTGTCACTGTCTTTATGTTCTGCTTTGCACAGATGAGACAGAGTTCAGGAATTTCATTGTGTGGCTGGAGGACCAGAAAATTAGACACTACAAAATTGAAGACCGTGGCAACCTGAGAAATATCCCCAGCTCGGAATGGGCCAAGTCCTTTGAGCAGGTGAGCAGCAAGGCTAGCTGCAGTTACTGTATTGAAAACAACCTTGGGTCAGTCAAAGGTCGGTTCATATTACATCCAAGCAATTACAACCTGTGTTGTGTTCAGGAAGGCGCACTGTAGCAAAACGTTTTGCGACGGAAAATGAAAATCTGTGTTCTTTCTTATTGGGCAACTTCATGTAGTATCTCCATGCTTCATAACATTGTCTCCTTACTGAACCATGGGGCTCTTTTTCCACTTTATCAATGTATCTAGGAGGATCTGTTCTCTCAACCCCTTCCCTAACTGTTTACATCATAGGCAAAACAATAGATCCAGTCCAGGGCCACTTTCAGTTGCCAAGTTATGTCAAGCATTGCAGATAGAAATCCCATGAATAGAGCATACATAATAATAATATGCCATTTAGCAGATGCTTTTATCCAAAGCGACTTACAGTCATATGTGCATAAATTTTTATGCATGGGTGGTCCCGGGGATCGAACCCACTACCCTGGCGTTACAAGCGCCATGCTCTACCAATTGAGCTACAGAGGACCGCGTGAAGCCTTGTTCTACATGTCGGAGAGGCATGTTTGTTCTACATGGCATATTTCTTTCTGAGCGTTCCAAAACGTTGTGTCCTGCTGAACGCGCCCCATGATCAGTCAGTAGGCCTAATCATTCTAGAATGCTGAAAGCAATCCGATTTACCGCCCTAATCACATAGCTGTGACACACTCTTTTAATTGGAGAACCTCCATTGGGGTTGTGAAGTTACCATCCCATTTCCTGTCCAGGAAGCACCCTCTCGCTACCAACTGCCATTTTTTAGAAAGAGGCGAGAACAGGATTTTTTATTTATTTATCTAGGCAAGTCAGTTAAGAACAAATTCTTATTTACAATGACGGCCTACCCCATCCAAACCCTCCCGTAACCCGGACGATGCTGGGCCAATTGTGTGCAGCTCTATGGGACTCCTGATCATGGCCGGTTGTGATACAGCCCGGGATCGAACCCGGGTCTGTAGTGACGCCTCTAGCACTGCGATGCAGTGCCTTAGACCGCTGCGCCACTCGGTCCCCAAAGGAGGAAAGACTATTGAGACATAGCACGTCAGTGCTTGCACCAGAAACCTTTGTCTCTCCAGGCTTGAATAGTTCCCCAGTGTGATGAGTCTGGACAGTAAAGGTTCCTCTGGGATAAGGCATGCTGCTCAAGGAGAATCTACCATTTTTTTTCATGAAATGTGAATGGCGGCATCTAAAAACAATTGTTCAGCCATGTCTCACCTGGGGTGTATTCAATAGGAACCAAACGGAAGCAAACAGGATGAAACAGGGAGGGACCTACGTGCATTTGTCCAATAAACGCTTCTTTTAGTTTTTACGGTGAGCACTGATGAATAGACAAGAGCTCTGAAACAAAGAGCTACCCAATGAGAGCTAGTAACGACACCACTCCGATGGAAGTTAACCATTTGACGAAGATTGTATCACGGTTATGGTCCCAGGAACCTCGTATTCACGGTACCCTGGGTCATGTTCAGTAAGGCACACTGTGGCAAGTTTTCTCCCTACTGAACATGAGCTTGATTCTCTGTTTCCTACGCAGTATCTTCAAGATGTGAACTGCCCATTCACTGTCCAAGAGAGACCGGAGTCGGTAGACTGGTTGCTGGGTCTAGCAGTTCGGTTCGAGTATGGCGACAATGGTACTGTACCATCCATTTCCGCCTTATATCTCTTGATTTATTGAAGGGACTAGTGTTATTTTCCTTGTGTGATTCGGTGCCCATTGTGTGTACTTGGGCTGCTTGGGGCATATTACTACTTTCAATGTATTGTTGTGGTGATGCGTTGTTCAGCCACTAGATGGTAGCATTGTATTAACAGTGGCAACTTTGACAGCTTGGGCTGCTCCACCATAAGGGATAATCTAGTTGTGGTTCCACCCTCTGTTGCCATACACTGTATTGTCAGTGAACAGGAATGTTAAATGACTGTGCTTACACACTATTAAAGCAAGTCTTTGTTGTAAAAGCAGTTAAGTCGTAGTAGTATTATTTAATAAGTGGGGGGCATTGACTAAGTGGTCACTGTCTGGTTGTTGTATGTCCCACTGGCTCCCCAGTTGAGAAGTACAAGAACTGCCCGCCAGCCACGGCCACCGAGGCGGAGAAACCCTTGGATCCCCTCATCCATCTGGACAGTGAGCGAAACCACTCTTTCATCTCTTCCTCTAAATGCCTATCCTCCTCTCCCCTTACCTCTCTGCTCATCTATCTCATCCCCTCTTCACTCCTCTTCCTCTGTCCCTGATGTTCTGTGATAAAATCATCTGATTAAAGAAACCAGCGTGCAACGTAGTACTGAAGTGGGTTAGCGCAACTGTGTCTGGCCCAGACCACCAGACTGATTACACACACACACACTGCTGCGCACGCACACAGCAACCTACCACTGCTATGGGAATGTAGAGGCTGACAGTGGTGACTAGAAACGTTGGATACCTCAGGCTCATGTGGTGCCTCACGTAGTCTTTCACTAGCTGCCCTACTAGCGTAGGAGCCATTTTTTGGTTTGCTTTATGCTCATTATGACCTACCTGGTCTGGACTTATACAGTGAAATGCCTTTCTGGCAAGCTCTTTCACAAAAATGCAGTAATCAATATCTGTAGTACTATAAAGTCAAGTAGAACAAAAACACACAAGGAATAGAAATAAGAAAAACACGAGAAAGTAAGCTACTGTATATACAGATGGTGTTCTGAATGGCGCCGGAGGAGATGGCTGCCGTTTTACGGGCTCCTAACCAATTGTGCTATTGTGTGTGTTTTTCCCGCATTATTTTGTACATAATGTTTCTGCCACCGTCTCTTATGACCGAAAAGAGCTTCTGGATATCAGGACAGCGATTACTCACCTCGTACTGGACGAAGATTTTTTCTTTAACAAGTCGTACGTGAAGGATTTTCTTCAGACACCCGACAAGGCCCAAATTCCTGTAATTCGCATGAGAAAGAGACGGAGATATCGGGGATGTAGGTCGGGGTGCCTTGTAAGGATCTGACGGCAAGTAGGTAATCTGCCTCTACCATCAGTCCTATTAGCCAATATACAATCATTGGATAACAAAATAGACGAACTAAGATCACGGATATCCTACCAACGGGACATTAAACACTGTAATATCTTATGTTTCACCGAGTCATGGCTGAACGACGACATAACACAGCTGGCGGGATATACGCTGCATCGGCAAGATAGAACAGCTGCCTCCGGTAAGACAAGGGGTGGCGGTCTGTGTATATTTGTAAACAACTAAATTTAATATTAAGGAAGTCTCAAGGTTTTGCTCGCCTGAGGTAGTGTATCTCATGATAAACTGTAGACCACACTATTTACCAAGAGAGTTTTCATCTATATTTTGTGTAGCTGTCTATTTACCACCACAAACCGATGCTGGCACTAAGACCGCACTCAATGAGCTGTATAATGCCATAAGAAAACAGGAAAATCAAAAACTAAAGCAGGAAGCACCAGTGACTCGGTCAATAAAGAAGTGGTCATATGACGCAGATGCTAAGCTACAGGACTGTTTTGCTAGCACAGACTGGAATATGTTCCGGGATTCTTCCGATGGCATTGAGGAGTACACCACATCAGTCACTGGCTTCATCAATAAGTGCATTGATGACGTCGTCCCCACAGTGACTGTACATACATACCCCAACCAGATGGATTACAGGCAACATCTGCACTGAGCTAAAGGGTAAAGCTGCCGCTTTCAAGGAGCGGGACTCTAACCCGGAAATCCCGCTATCCCGACAAACCATCAAACAGGCAAAGCATCAATACAGGACTAAGATTGAATCGTACTACACCGGCTCCAACGCTCGTCGGATGTGGAAGGGCTTGCAAACTATTACAGACTACAAATGGATGAAGAGCTAAATTACTTCTCGCTTCGAGGCAAGCAACACTGAAGCATGCATGTGTGCATCAGCTGTTCCGGACGACTGTGTGATCACGCTCTTCGTAGCCGATGTGTGTAAGACCTTTTAAACAGGTCAACATTCACAAGGCCGCAGGGCCAGACGGAGTACCAGGACGTGTACTCCGAGCATGCGCTGACCAACTGGCAAGTGTCTTCAATGACATTTTCAACCTGTCCCTGATTTGAGTCTGTAATACCAACATGTTTCAAGCAGACCACCATAGTCCCTGTGCCCAAGAACACAAACCTGCCTAAATGACTACCGACTCGTAGCACTCACGTCTGTAGCCATGAAGTGCTTTGAAAGGCTGGTCATGGCTCACAACAACACCATTATCCCAGAAACCCTAGACCAGGGTTCTTCAATTCCGGTCCTGGAGGGCCAAAACACTTCTGTTTTTTTATTTCTACCTGGTAGTTAATTGCACTCACCTGGTGTCCCAGGTCTGAATTAGCCCCTGATTAGAAGGAGAGGGGAGGAGGTCAGAGACCTGGCCGTGTGGTGCCAGGATAACAACCTCTCCCTCAACGTGATCAAGACAAAGAGGACCGAGCACACCCCCATTGACATCGACTGGGCTGTAGTGGAGCAGAATGAGAGCTTTGAGTTCCTTGGTGTCCACATCACCAACAAACTATCATGGTCCAAACACACCCAAGACAGTCGTGAAGAGGGCACGACAAAGCCTATTCACCCTCAGGAGAATGAAAAGATTTGGCATGGGTCCTCAGATCCTCAAAAAGTTATACAGCTGCACCATCGAGAGCATCCTGACTGGTTGCATCACTGCCTGGTATGGCAACTGCTCGGCCTCCGACCGCAAGGCACTACAGAGGGTAGTGCGTACAGCCCAGTACATCACTGGGGCCAAGCTTCCTGCCATACAGGACCTCTATAACAGGCGGTGTCAGAGGAAGGCCCTAAAAATGGTCAAAGACTCCAGCCACCCTATTCATAGACTGTTCTCTCTGCTACCGCGCGGCAAGCGGTACCGGAGCGCCAAGTCTAGGTCCAAAAGGCTTCTAAACAGCTTCTACCCCCAAGCCATAAGACTCCTGAACAGCTAATCAAACGGCTACCCGGACTATTTGCATTGTTCTATTCCCTCTTTTACGCTGCTGCTACTCTCTGTTTATTATCTATGCATAGTCACTTTAACTCTACCTACATGTACATATTATCTCAATTACTTAGACTCACCTGTGCCCCCGCACATTGACTCTGTACCGGTACCCCCTGTATATAGCCTCGCTACTGTTATTTTACTGCTGCGCTTTAATTTCTTAATTTTTTAGTTATACATTTTTTACTTAACACTTATTTTTCTTAAAACTGCATTGTTGGTTAAGGGCTTGTAAGTAAGCATTTCACTGTAAGGTCTATAACAGTTGTATTCGGTGCATGTGGCAAATACAATTTGATTTGAAAAATGCCATATTTACAATGTGCAGGGATACTGGAGTGGTAGGGGTAGATGTGTAAGGGGACTAAGGTAACTGGGTGTGTTCCCTTCTTGCTCCTCAAGGCAACAACCCAGACTTTAAGGCTGGCGTGATGGGCCTGGCTAACATGCTGAAGATCCAGCGTCACGACGACTACCTGGTCATGCTGAAGGTGAGAACCAGTTGCAACCAAGCACCATGTCTATGAAGTGGGACAGACTTACTAATGCCCTTTTTACACTACTGATCCAGGTCGTGCCGAGCGGTAGTGCGATGGCCTGGTTACGCACCCACCATAGTAACTGGAACCTTGCTGGAAAGGACAATGTAAAATGAAAATATCAGAGCCCGTACGGTTCGGATCAGCGCTATACTGTGGAAAGGGTTTTACTCATTTCTTATGACCATGTTGGAAATGACGACCCTGTGCAGATTTCAGACTTGTGCAGATTTGGTAGCAATGGTGTGGTTATTTCACTTCTCTAACAGGCTATAAGGATCCTCATCCAAGAGAGGCTGACCCCAGAAGCCATAGCCAAGGCCAGCCAGTCTAAAGAGGTGAGCTACTGCGGCAGATCCACCCGCCTACACATTTAGGCCTCATCAAAATGCCAAAGGTTTTAAAACGTGATCCGAAATAGTGCCCACAATACTTCAGAACTGGGTCCAAACAGGATGGGTTTTTGTATTTTTGGGACCATTTGCACAAGGCAAGCTCACTCAAGTGCACTCTGAACTCTCAGGACACATTACTGTATGAAACATCACAGAGTACTGGTTTAGGATCCATTTTGCCTTTTAGATCACAAATAATAATATGATATGGACAGGGGTGGGGACACTCCTACTCTTATACGCTTGATGATAAATAGAGCCTCAGAGTGTGATGGGTAAGGCCTGTGTGCAGTGGTCTGGAAGTCGTCTCCGTGGCTATGCTATTTTAAGAGGACGGCTATATATTGGCACTTCCTGTGTCCCCTAATTGCTGTGATGTATCTCTTCCTGTTTCTGCCTCCTCCTCAAGGGTCTCCCTGTGGCCTTGGACAAGCACATCCTCGGCTTTGATACCGGAGGTGAGTGCTCGCAGTCGAGTATTTGAAGTAATACACACGGGGCACATTTCAAACGGCAGTGTGTTATCCTTCATATCCTCATGAAGGGACTATAGTCCCTAAATGACATTTTGAAGTGCTTCTGTAACTGCAAATGCTTACGCTGTCAATTCCCTGTGTTCTTGTCCCCAAGACGATTATTATAATCTTAATGGGCTCCACACATTGATAGATTTTTATTTGACAATTTAAAAACACAATACAACCATAAATGTGGACACAATGCATTTAAGTAAAAAATGTATTTCCATTGTGGTCCTCTTCAAACATGTTACACAATCACAGCTAAAAGCTGAATTGCAGTAAACCTCACATGGCCCAAATAATTAAACACTGCAATGACCAAAACATAACACATTTGAATAGTCCTCCAGATGACAGTGGTTGCTCTTTCCTTGGGAATAGCTTGCAGAACTAGCCAGCCAGCGTGCTTCACTGTCCAAACCGCATTGGTTGTGACCACTTGCGAGTAGCCTGGCTCCGCCTTGCAAATCTTTCCACTGCTTAGCCACCCTCACTGAGTTGAATCGCCTCCCGTTGCTCCTCAGCCCGAGTAATCTCCAGTGGTGTTCTCCTGGCTGACTGGTCTCCCAGTCCCAATGTAGCAGGCTTCCATTACAGCGCCATGATTCAGCACAGAGTCCAGTCTGTCCAAGCAGCCCGAAACCACAGAGGAAATCCCTGGCATGAGCTCCCCAAGGACAGCATGTTCAAATCAAAACTGCATCGCGAAAGCTAGCTGTAAAGCTAGCTAGCAGTGCAATCGATCTAATAATGGATTTACTGTGTTATTGAAAATTAACAGATTTCAGATCACCAGATTTACATGATCTCTATCTAATTATCTTCCTAAAGCAATAGTTTGCAGAAAAATAATATAACAAAATGAACAATACATTTTCAGGGGCTAACAGCCCAGCTAGGCTGCCCCCTAGGGCACCATAGCAAATCCATTCTGTCCTATTGATATGATTGTAATGGAATTGATCTTGACTACTGTTGATGTAATACTCGGTAGGATTGCTTGGGTGGCTAGGGCCATCACATAGTCAAGATCTGATCCAGATCTGTTGGAGATGCATGCGGGCAAAGGAAACGACATGGAACGTGTCATTGTGGAGACTAGTGTCATTTCCCTGTGAACCACTTTGTTTGAAGTGGCCTGTCGTGTCAACATAATATCAGGCTATGTCAGTGCAGGGGTTGTACATACTTGCCGAGAGGGGTGTATGTATGTAAGTGTTTCTTTTTACGGCTCACTACAAAGATTAAATATGGCTTTTTTTAACCCAGCATTGACAAAGGGAAAACAAAAGCACAATTGCATGCGTCGTTCATCCTGTCAACATGTGGTCCTACATTCATACAATAATTCATCTGTGACCTCAGTCGCTGATCACTTACTGAGCATAATCTCGTGTTGTGGAACACGGCCTCTTAGTGATGTGCTGCTCCTTTCTCTGCAGACGCCACCCTGAACGAGGCGGCTCAGATCCTACGTCTGCTCCACATCGAGGAGCTGCGAGACCTGCAGACCCGGATCAACGAGGCCATAGTAGCCGTCCAGGCTATCATCGCAGATCCCAAAACAGACCACCGCCTGGGCAAGGTCGGCAGATGACATGGCCTGCCTGATCACTTGACCTCTGCCCTATAACCCCCAACACACGCGGTCTGTGTAAAAAGCAGTACCAGTCACACAAACTCTACATGGATATTGGTCCAAGACCCTGTTATTTTATTTTGACCCTCCCCCCCTCTCTAACAACCATGATGAAGCCTTTTTGATTGTGATGTTTTTGTGAAGGATTTGGAAAGATTGGAATGAAATTGACTTGTTTTTTTGTTTTGGAAGGGGAATTAGCCTTTTCGTGGAATGAGTGTTGGAATGAAAATGTGTGAAATGCATAGTAAAAAAAGAAATGTTTTTTTTTTTTGTTCATAAGAAATGGTAAGTCCTACCAGATTCTCTGCTGAAATGACCCATGAGAGAATGTCTGTTTTAAGTCCTGAATCACATTTTATTGTTATAAATATCACATCTTACAAAAAATAAAGGATTAAAAAAAGCACTGGTAAAACAGATATTTGGCAAGACAATGCAATTCCATGTGGTGAAATACAAAATTATTATTAGTGCACAGAATACTCATACTGCATTGCTGTGTGTTCATTCAATACACATTGACAGTTATAACAGGACTTGTGGCTCAAAGATCTTATTTATTTTAAAACTCTTTTCTTTGGCTTTCTATAAAAAGTCCCATACAAAAATACAGTAGAAAGTATGAAATGAGGTATTAAACAAATGTACAAAACTTTATTTGCGGGGGGGGTGGGGGGGGTCGCAGTTTGGCGTTTTGTAAATTTGCTCTGCTGGTGGTTGGTGAAATCCTTGCTCCGTCGCGAGAGTCCTTCTTTCGTCGCCTCTGTAGCAGTGTACAACGAAAGGGTTCTCAAAGGGGCAAGCATGTCAAGACTGCCAAAATAGCACCATAAAAACGATTCTCTCTCATTGTCTCCCTGCAACAGATGACAACCACATTAGGGCCACAGGAAGGACAGCGGACATCCTTGACGGCTACCTCACACTCAGCTAAAAAAAACTAGCACCAGTCACAGAACAAACATTACTTTCCAAACGTGTAATTTGTTTAACCTCCATAAATACCCCTCTTTTTACATTTCAAGTGTTCTTCCACCAAACGCAAGGCTGTGATCTCATAGGGCTCTTGCCACTAGATTTCCATGGCTTTGAAGTGCTTTGCTGTCTCTGCGAGGACCGGTCACATTTCGTCACCTAGGTCTGAAGTACAGTGATTTGGCAGCAGGTGCCTTCTACTTTCCCAACCCCCCCACTCCCCAGAGGAACTTCCTAGTTGACAGGTTCTGTTTCAAGGCTGTTTGTACTGCCTCTGTCTGTTATTTGGTGTTTTACTGTCTTTTCTTTTTGCAGGTGTCAGCTCTGATACTGTCACATAATATAACTAAGCTTGTGAGAAAGCAGGGAGCCTTAACACTGGGGTCAATACTTAATCTGCAGAGTTGCAAAAAGATTAGCGTTTCAGGCTACACAGACTGCAAAAAGGCATAAGCCATACAGTACAATTCAAGTGGAACAGTTCATCTGATTTATTTCCACCAGATGTGTAAAACCACTGACAACAGTGAATGCTATTGCTATCACTTTGACATGAGGGTAATATTGATGGTGTTCCATGTCATCTTTTTTTGCAGGCGCGCTGCACAGATGATCATATCTCACAATGTCTAGGGAAGTGTCTTGTTACCAATTCATTTGACATAGCAATCTTCTGAGATGCACAGCACAACTGCAAAAAAGACAACCTGGAACGTCACCAATCACGAGTCAAGATTTGTGTGTGAGCCCACATAATTATGTTTCTGTAGCATGAGGCAGCTTGATGTACAAGTTCACCCCGTAGACAGGACGCTATAAAGATGTACAGTATTACCTTATAGACAGTGGGTGGTTGCTACGGTGACACCGTACAGGTGAGACCTCTGGTCAGGTAGGTACTCGTCTGTGAACTGGCTGCTGTCCCGACTCAGAGCAATGACTCCGTCCCTACAAACACCACAGAAAAAAATACATATTCAAGTTTGAACAAGCAAAGTGCCGTGATGAAGAGCTCCTGGCCCGTCTGTCTGACGGAGGGCTGGATTCAATCCGTAGTGGAGAAGTTCGGCATTACAGCATGATTGAAATGTAAAAGCAATGTTCCAGCGTTAGCGGAGACTGCATTCACGGTAAATGCTGCATATGTTGGCTCAATTTGAAATGACCTTTACATTTCAATCGCGCAATCTGTAACACTCAAGCAATACAGATTTACATTTACGTCATTTAGCAGACGCTCCTATCCAGAGTGACTTACAGTTAGTGCATACATTATTATTATTTTTTATTTTTAAATACCCCCCCCCGTGGGAATCGAACCCACAACCCTGGCGTTGCAAACGCCATGCTTTACCAACTGAGCTACATCCCTGCCGGCCATTCCCTCCCCTACCCTGGACCAATTGTGCGCCGCCCCATGGGTCTCCCGGTCGCGGCCGGCTACGACAGAGCCTGGATTCGAACCAGGATCTCTAGTGGCACAGCTAGCACTGCGATGCAGTGCCTTAGACCACTGTGCCACTCGGGAGCGCTGAATTGGGCGCTGATTGTTTCTCCCTGGCTTTAACATCAATGCCCCCTCTGCTCAAGACAACTGTCCAACAGCTAATGATGCACATTACTAGATACTTTCATTCATTTCATTAATTGCTATTGCTTGGAACTTATTGGTCTTTTGTTTGTGTTTTGGTACACAATTTTTCTAAATGTAAATTGTACTCGCAATTCAGTTTGTTGCTGCCAGTTGTGCAATATCTTGTTGAAGATCAGAAAAAAAAAAAAAATTCTCTCATACCATTACACTGAACCTAAAAAGAACACTACTTTAAACAGTATTTACAGGGTTTGCACTTCTGGGTCTATTCCATTGGTTCCGTCGCACCTATGGACCTCCATCAAGCACAGCTTAAGTATTTGACAGATAACAAATACTATTTAAACCCAGATATGTTCCTCTCTTACCTCCTCCAGTCTGTGAAGTAGAAGTGGTTGGCATAGAACACCATACTGAATGGGTAGTTCAGGTTGCTGTGGATCACCCTTCTACCCGTCCCATCAGACGCAATGCACTCCAAACGCTTGGTTCCTTAGAGAGAGAGAGCGAGTGTGAGAGAGAAAGAGGAGACGATACAGAGAGAAAAGGTAAGAAAGAGATGGGGATGGTAAGGGAGAGATTTTATAGGTTTCATCAGGTTGATAACAGTATAAGCCCCTTCCATAGTATGTAGAGTAGTATACAGTCTGTATGCATCTGAACTGTGTATCACCTCTGACTCTGCTCCAAAACAGCTTGGCCCCATCCCCACTAACATGCAAATGTGAGTGTTGCAAAAAAATTTTACACATACATGTTATTCAATCATTTCACCAACACCACTTGAGCACGCAAATTGGTGTCTGCGCAGCCAAGCGCTAAAATAGAACTTGGTCCCCTCCTTAAAGCCGATTTATGCTTGATCCGACAATGCGGTCCGGAGGCTACATACAGAGGATGGCTTGCAGAGGTCAAATCGAGCTCCGTACCGCATCGCCATGCGCCTCCCAAATTTAGTAACAATGCGGAGGGCTCTGTATAGCTCCACACTGACATGATTGCTTGACAGTAGGTGGGGGTGGGACCATGGGAGGTCCTGTATAAACACAAAGTCATTTCCTTGACAACTTCCTTCACAACAGCTCTGTTCTGCTCCGCGAAGCGCAAGAAGTATGAATGCCCTGACTTCTGCAGAGACCGCATCGCAGTAAATGCTGTACGGCCAATACAGAGCCAGATTGACCATAAATTGGCTTTTACATGCTGACCAAACCGGCTCCGCACGTGCGTCTGCGTTCGCCATCGTGTGCATGTTGATTTAGTCTATCCCCACCAGACGAGTTCATGACAAGCAGGTTCACATACCAAAACCAACTGTGAAACAACTATCAGTGGTGTATTGCTCTCTGGTTTAAACCTTCACAAAAGTTTTGAACAGGCTGTATTGCAGCAATTAGGCTACCAAGAAAGGCTAGTGCGTCCCCAATAAATCACAGCAACAGGCTTCTGACAACCCATCTTAAACTAAATACATGCAGCACACAATTAAAAGACAGATCGAACTTAATTTAGCCAACGAAAATGTCTCAACAGAATGAAACAAAACAAGCTTTGCATATTTAAATAACTGGTTCAGATTAATAAATATGCCTACAATAATAACAATGATATACAGTAATAATAATGATAAAACAAATGATTATACTGTAAATACAATTTTTTTTAAAAATAATCTACGTTCTAAAATTGCATCCTACCTGAATAGCAAGTTGCACATGCCTGCATTTGGCCGCGCCAACATTCTTCCCATCTTTGTCCACTACAACATTAAAACTTGTCCATATGGAGGACATTCCCCTTGTAGGCTTTTCACTATAAGCATACTCTCTAACTTTTGTTTTACTTCAATGAAAAAGGCCTCCATCTTCGCAATCAATAGTAGCCCAAGGCTTCTCTCACTCGCTCTCTCGCTCTCCTCAGCAGCATGCACATAACACCTCGATCACACCGACAGTGAACGCTGCATTTGCCTTGCAGCATTGCGTTGCAGAGGCAGTTGCAGTGCCTTCTGTGTGGTGCATACTTTGGATTTATCGAATGTATGCGTCAAACTGTATGCGTGGATAGCTTGAACAGAAATGGTAGCAGAAGGTGAATGTTGAACTTTTGTTGCACACATATCCAGATGATGCTGCGTACCATTTTGCGCAAGACACTGTTGGTGTGATCGAGACGTAACGCAGCAGGCAAGGAGTGAGAGAATGGTGCTGAAGCGTGAAATCGGGATGTATGATATGCAGCCCGGACAATTTGGGCGGCTACAATTTTATCTAGCAGGCAATTACCGGCTAACAGAAACCCTGGCCCACACATTGTCTCAAGAATATTTTATATTTTAATAACCTCAAACACCAAGTTAGGCATACCTCATTTCAAAATAGGCCATCATCACTGTCAATCGTGAATGATAATGATTTACCTTTTACCTGTGAAATGTACAAACTGCGTCTGCAATCATTTGATCTCAATCAGTTTCATGGGAAATGTAGATCTTGAATTACTTGGTGTAATGGTGTTAACAAACTATTAGCCTCTCTTGTATTTTGTTTCAATCAAAGCATATATCCTGCCTAGTGGTGCACGCTGTTGAGTTTTGGCCGCATGAGAAAAGAAATGAGTATTTTCAGCTTCAGCTAACCGTCCTAAAACCTCTACAAATCTGGTGTTTTTGGTGTAACAGTAACATTATAGACTTACTATGCTACAGTATGCTATTATATTCGGTTACGTTATGTAAAATACTAATTCATCATTATGTGGTGTTGCAGTAATTAATTAAGCTTCAGAAATAATTTTCCTGAAAAATATTTATCAGCTCCTCAAATTGAAAAAAAGGGAGGGAGCGCGTTCCTACATCACTACACCCCTGCCAACTATATTCATTTGGGGACAGGTCGAAACACATGGAATATTCATGGACATGTAGCTAGCTTGCTGTTGCTAGCTAATTTGTCCTGGGAGATAACATTGGGTTGTTATTTCACCTAAAATGCATATGGTCCTTTTTTTAGCTGTATCTTTGTAGAATTTGGACCCGTGTTGAGTCATACAAAATCGTGTGTTCTCTACTCCGACAATTAATCCACAGATAAAAATGGGAAACATAGTTAGTTCTTTGATGAACCTCTCCTCTTTCATCTTTCTTCTTCTTCTTCTTCTTCTGTGGATTTTATATGGCGGTTGGCAACCAATTTTAAAGTGGATTACCATTACCAACTGGACTGGAGTGTGGATCGCTTTCATCTTTCAATCATCCATGTTGGTATATGCTCGTAAAAACCAATGAGTAGATGGGAGAGGCGGGACTTGCAACGGGTCAAGCGTGGCTACGCAGACGCGACGGCCGGTTTGGTCAGCATGTTACAAGCTCGAGCATCGCAAAATAAATGTACATATACATATTATTTAATCATTTCGCCCATAAGTGGGCTCCCGAGTGGCGCAGTGGTCTAAGACACTACATCTCAGTGCTAGAGACATCACTACAGACCGTGGTTCGATTCCAGGCTGTATCACAACCGGCCGTGATTGGGAGTCCCATAGGGTGGCGCACAATTGGCCCAGCGTTGTCCGGGTTTGGCCGTCATTGTAAATAAGAATTTGTTCTTAACTGACTTGCCTAGCTAAATAATGGTAAAATTAAAAATTAAAAAATAAGCTTGCGTGCGTGAACAAGCGTCTGCGTAGCTAAGCGCTAAAATAGAACTTGGTTCTATTTGAGACGCTCGACACGCTGCAAGTTCCGCCTCTCCCATCTACCCATTGGTTTTCAGGAGCATACAACTCCAGGTATGTATTTGAGAGATTAATCATAGATAACGAACTAAAAACTCAGAGACCATCATTTTGCGGTCATATGAATGTAACATTTTATTTACTCTGCAATTTTCAAAGTCATGTCCCCCCTTCCTTGACTTTTTCTAAATATGTCAATTCAACACACTGTCGTTAGAATTTCAATATCACAAACAGAGTTTGTGTTATAAGCAGTTTTAGGTAGACATGTCCATCGAAACTACACCTAAACTAATTTCACACATAGGCCTATAATAATAGATATAGCCTAAAGACAAGATTACATTGACAATAGGCTTATGGGTGACAATATTATCAATTGCCTTGCGAATGAAGAGACTGCTGCACAGCGTGGGTAATTGCCAAAAAAGGGAATGGCGCTTACCAAAAAGCAAATTTTTCAAATCGTCATTCATGCAGGTAAGACATTTTGATTTCATAATCAGAAAGAGCAGGTTCTAAGGTTTCTAAAATACATACATTTGCCAAAAAACTTAAAATTAAGGCATGGGCTCTATTTCAAAATATCACTTTTTTGGTAGAATATTACAGCTGCTATTCCATGCGTTCTACATGTGAGCATAATTAGTTATTTTGAAATACAAGCTATTAGTGTTTAAAAAAAATGTTTTTAAATACCTGCCTTAATGAAATAATAATGCATATCTTTGTGATGGTGTATAACACTTGAATTTGGGTGTTTTTGTGGTTTTTCGTTTTTACATATAGCCTACAGTAACAAAACTCATGAAACATATTTTCTAATGGTAGGCCTACCTAAAACCTTCATAAACACAACCAAATGTTTTATAGCATATATTAAATGTATTTATTAAACTGTTAGAATGCATTGGCTCAGAACGGGATTACTAGAGGCCCAGCTTTTCTAGTGTTAATTGTCATTTAACATTTTAGTTACTTTGCCATTTTCAAAGTCATGTCCCGCTTCCTTGAGTTTTCCTAAATACTGTAAGTCTATTCAACACACTGTCATTAGAATTTCAATAGAGAAACACAAAGAACCAGCTAAAAAGAAGACCATATGCATGTCAGGTAAAATAACAACCCAATGATAATCTCCCAGGACAAACTAGCTAGCAAAGGCTATAGTCTCAATGTCCACGAATGTTTCATGTGTGTTTCGACCTGCCCCGATATTTATTTAACTGATTTACGATTTTAGTATTTTAACCTGCGTGTCATGATCGTGTCTGGTGGGGATAGACAAAATCAACATGCGCGCGAAGGCGCACGCGGACGCATGGGCATGGCGGTTGTAGTCAGCATATTAAAGTGCTGAGAAGTGACAGCAGCACTGCTTTCTAATAACTTACCATACTTTTAATAGCTTACTATTTTAGCGTCATGAGATTTAACATCATGAAATGGGCATTATTATATATAGCTCAACCTTAACGACTTCATGGTGGGAACATACAAACAAAAGCGTAGGTTACAAAGATAGAGACTTGGATCACAGAGATGTAATGTAGCAATTTGAACTTCAAAAGAGCTCATGAAAATGCCTCTAAATCAGGGCTCCAGACTGCGACCATATAGTCGCATTTTGCGACCCTTTGACTTGTCTGTGCTAGTAAAAAAATATATTAGTCGTACTGGTGCGAGCTGTACATTCTACCTGGTCGCCTCATTCAAAGGGTCACCTCAATTGGGAGGATAAAACCATAATTTGTCAAACAGTTTAGTGCATTATCCTCATGATTCCTGTAATGAAAGTGTCTGCCCAAGTTTATAATAAGAAATGAACAGAATGCATCAGTGAATTCATGAAAATCACTGGATTCGGTTGCATATCAAAATACCTTGAATCATGCATTGCTGCTTGGACATGTTAGATGTAACAATGTATTTATTGAATACCATCTCAGTAGTATATTACACTTCTTATTAAGCATTGTGAAATACTTTATAATGACTTTATCAGATGATTACAAATGTTTCTATTGCGTGACTCCGCAAATTAATTTTTGGGGATGCGACCAAATCATGGGCTGGTGCCAACTGGGGAAAATGTCTGGAGCCCTGCCTTAAATCCTGATCCAAGATCAGTTTAGCAATTTTTTCCTCTTTAAGATGGTGAGGATTTGGGAAAGTAAGCTGGTTCTAGTTATATGCCTTAGGTGTGGTTCTAAACGCTCCAAGCTCCTAGAGGCACGGGATTCTTACCTGCGTCCGCCCAGCACACCTGTCTCGTGGATGTGTCAAAGGTCAAGGCGTTGGGCAGGCCAATCCCGTCCTTCACCAGCACCTTCCTGCTGTGGCCATCCACTGAGGAACTCTCGATTTTCGGTGCCTCCCTGTTCCAGTCGGTCCAGTACAGGGTCCTAGAGAGTCAACACACAGTTAGAAAGCACTTAGAAAGGGCAATTATGGTGGTGTGCATGGTGGCTCATATGGTTCATAAATGGTGTGTGCAAGTGTAACTGGTGGGATCGAACCCAGGTCTCCCGCTCTCCAACCCAACGTCTTAACCAAGTCTTAACATCCTCTAGATCCGAGGGGGTCATTTGGGGTTACAAGTCTCCTGGGAGGGAGTGCAACCGAGAGCGTGATTCCAAATCAACTCCGCTACACATCAAGGTTGTGGGTTCAATTCCTGCATACACTGAATATGAAACCAGGTAGTGCCTTCAGAAAGTGTTCACACCCCTCAACTTTTTCCACATTTTGTTGTGTTACAGCCTGAATTTTTTATTGATTAAATTGAGATGTTGTGTCACTGGCCTACACGCAATACCCCATAATGTCAAAGTGTAATTATGTTTTTAGAAATGTTTACAAATTAATAAAAAATGAAAAGCTGAAATGTCTTAAGTCAAAAAGTATTTATGGCAAGCCTAAATAAATTCAGGAGTAAAAATGTGCTTTATAGGTCACACAATAAGTTGCATGGACTCACTCTGTGTGCAATAATAGTGTTTAACATGATTTTTTTATGACTACCTCATCTCTGTACCCCACACATACAATTATCTGTAAGGTCCTTCAGTCGAGCAGTGAATTTCAAACACAGATTAAATCACAAAGACTAGGGAGGTTTTCCAATTCCTTGTAAAGAAGGGCACCTATTGATAGAGGAAGGAAACCGCTCAGGGATTTCACCATGAGGCCAATGGTGACTTTAAAACAGTTTCAGAGTTTAATGGCTGTGATAGGAGAAAACTGAGGATGGATCAACAACATTGTAGTTACTCCACAAAACTAACCTAAATGACAGAGTGAAAAGAAGGAAACCTGTACAGAATAAATATACTCCCAAACATGCATCCAGTTTGCAATATGGCACTAAAATAAAACTGCAAAGAATTTGGCTAAGAAATTAACTTCATTTCTTCAATATGAAGCGTTTTGTTTGGGGCAAATCCAACACAACACATCACTGAGTACAACTCTTCATATTTTCAAGCATGTTGGTGGCTGCATCATGTTATGGGTATGCTTGTAATCGGCAAGGACTAGGGAGTTTTTTCGGACAAAAATAATCGGAATAGAGCTAGAGTCCTAGAGGACAACCTGGTTCAGTCTGCTTTCCAACAGACACTGGGAGACAAATTCACCTTTTAGCAGGACAATCTCCTAAAACACAAGGCCAAATATACACTAGAGTTGCTTAAAAAGATGACATTGAATGTTCCTGAGTGGCCTAGTTACAGTTTTGACTTAAATCGGCTTGAAAATATATGGCAAGACTTGAAAATGGCTGTCTAGCAATGATCAACAACCAACTTGACAGAGCTTGAAGAATTTAAAAAATAATAATGAAAATATTGTACAATCCAGGTGTGAAAAGTTCTTAGAGACTTACCCAGAAAGACTCACAGCTGTAATCGCTGCCAAAGATGATTATAGCATGTATTGCAATACTCAGGGGTGTGAATACTTACAGTTGAAGTCGGAAGTTTACATACACCTTAGCCAAATACATTTAAACTCAGTTTTTCACAATTCCTGACATTTAATCCTAGTAAAAATTCCCTGTTTTAGGTCAGTTAGGATCACCACTTTATTTTAAGAATGTGACATGTATAGAAGAAGTAATAGTAGAGAGAATGATTTCTTTCAGCTTTTATTTCTTTCATCACATTCCCAGTGGGTCAGAAGTTTACATACACTCAATTAGTATTTGGTAGCATTGCCTTTAAATTGTTTAACTTGGGTCAAACGTTTCGGGGAGCCTTCCACAAGCTTCCCACAATATGTTGGGTGAATTTTGGCCCATTCCTCCTGACAGAGCTGATGACAGAGTCAGGTTTGTAGGCCACCTTGCTCGGACAAGCCTTTTCAGTTCTGCCCACACATTTTCTATAGGATTGAGGTCAGGGCTTTGTGATGGCCACTCCAATACCTTGACTTTGTTGTCCTTAAGCCATTTTGCCACAACTTTGGAAGTATGCTTGGGGTCATTGTCCATTTGGAAGACCCATTTGTGACCAAGCTTTAACTTCCTGACTGATGTCTTGAGATGTTGCTTCAATATATCCACATCATTTTCCTTCCTCATGATGCCATCTATTTTGTGAAGTGCACCAGTCCCTCCTGCAGCAAAGCACCCCCACAGCATGATGCTGCCACCCCGTGCTTCACGGTTGGGATGGTGTTCTTCGGCTTGCAAGCAACCCCCTTTTTCCTCCAAACATAACGATGGTCATTATGGCCAAACAGTTATATTTTTGTTTCATCAGACCAGAGGACATTTCTCCAAAAAGTAACCCTGAGGGGTGCCAAGAAATCCTGCGCAAATTCACAAACACTATTAAGCTCATTAAATTTCACCATCACATAAAGTACCCCCTGGGTCTCTTGCGATACTTCTTGCCACATTATCAGATATTAGAAGGAGAAATATAAGCACTCGCTATTATGTTTCAACGGTTTTGACTGACATATGGTTAGCATAAATCCAACTAATCAGACGCAATAATATCTAACATACGTTCATTCTTTATTATGAATAGGGCTTGCTTTGGTTATCTTATTACATATTATCCACAAAATCATTGGGCATAGCAATAACCTACACTGAACAAAAATATAAACGCAACCTGCAACAATTTCAAAGATTTTGGAAATCAGTCAATTGTAATGAATAAATGAGGCCCTAATCTATGCATTTCACATGACTGGGCAGGTGCGCAGCCATGGGTGAGCCAAGCCCACCCACTGGGGAGCCAAACCCAGCCAATCAGAATGAATTTTTCCCCACAAAAGGGTTTTATTACAGACAGAAATACTCCTCAGCACCCATGGCACCCTTTACATGTTGCGTTTATATTTTTATTCAGTGTAAATAACAAAAGAAGACGGATCGCTTGAGTTACTCCAGAGCGAACCTAAGTCAAAGTATTTGGGAGAAAGGCCAGGTCTTTGGACGTGACATCGATGTAATTTTGCTTCGCATGATTGCGATTCATGATTAACCATGTGCTTTATGATTTCTGAGGCTGGACATACACACGTGCACCCACCCACAGCCAATCCCTCTACCAGACATAAACCCAGAATATTTAATGTATGGCAAACATCTGCAAAGACACACGCAAACACACACATACATTTTTGCTGACACAAACACACAAGCCTAAATCCTAAATACACATACACAAAAGCCATATCTCTCTCTCTCACTCTCACACACACACACACATACACACACACACACACACACACACACACACACACACACACACACACACACAGTACACACACACACGTGCACTTGTAGCTGTGCTGATTGCTGATCCTGTGGGCCGAGCAGAGCGGGCCAGCAGTTCTTCCAGATGTGGAGTGGAATGGGGCTTAGATAGACAGACAGGCTCAGAATGTGTGGTTCCTTAGAGGGAGAGCGGGAGGGGGGAGTGTGAGAGAGGGAGAGCGGTTGCTTTGGCAATAAGTAGGTAAGTAAGTAAGCCTTGTCCAAGCCAGAATGGTCCTTAGGGCAAGAGCCTATCTCCTGTTTCTGTAGTGTGAGACATCTGGACAGGACACTCCTCCTGTCAGTTTGGCAATGCAACTATGTACACTACATGACCAAAAGTGTGTGGATACCTGCTCGCCGAATGTCTCATTCCAAAATCATGGGCTTTAATATGTAGTTGGTCCCCCCTTTGCTGCTATAAAAGTCTCCACTCTTCTGGATGTTGGAAAATTACTGCGGGGACTTGCTTCTATTCAGCCACAAGAGCATTAATGAGGTCGGGCACTGATGTTGGGCAATTAGGCCTGGCTCACAGTCGGCGTTCCAATTCATCCCAAAGGTGTTCGATGGGGCTGAGGTCAGGGCTCTCTGCAGGCCAGTTCTTCCACAACGATCTCGACAAACCATTTCTGTATGGACCTCACTTTGTGCACGGGTGTATTGTCATGCTGAAACAGGAAAGGGCCTTCCACAAACTGTTGCCACAAAGTTGGAACCACAGAATCGTCTAGAATGTCATTGTATGCTGTAGCTTTAAGATTTCCCTTCATTGGAACTAAGGGGCCTAGCCCGAACCATATAAAACAGCCCCAGACCATTATTCCTCCTCCACCAAACTTTACAGTTGGCACTATGCATTGCGGCAGGTAGCGTTCTCTTGGCATCCGCCAAACCCAGATTCGTCCGTCGGACTGTCAGATGGTGAAGCGTGAATCATCACTCTAGAGAATGCGTTACCACTGCTCCAGACTCCAATGGCGGTGAGCTTTACACCACTCCAGCCGACGCTTGGTATTGCGCATGGAGATCTTAGGCTTGTGTGCTCCCGACGAACAGTTCTTGTGCTGACGTTGCTTCCAGAGGCAGCTTGGAACTCGGTAGTGAGTGTTGCAACCGAGGACAGATTATTTTTACGCGCTACGCGCTTCAGCACTTGGCTGTCACGTTCTGTGAGCTTGTGTGGCCTACCACTTCGCGGCTGAGCCATTGTTGCTCCTAAACATTTCCAATCCACAATAACAGCACTTACAGTTGACCGTGGCAGCTCTATCAGGGCAGAAAAATTACGAACTGAGGGTGCCATGTTGAATGTCACTGAGCTCTTCAGTAAGGCCATTCTACTGCCAATGTTTGTCTATGGAGATTGCTTGGCTGTGTGCTCGATTTTATACATCTGTCAGCAACGGGTGTGGCTGAAACAGCAGAATCCACTAATTTGAAGGGGAGTCCACATACTTTTGAATATATAGTTTATACATTCGTCATGCTAATAAAAACATTTAGAATTGAATTGAGATAGAGAAGGACAGAGATGGGGAGAGACAGATATCTTGATTTTTCCCTTCAGTTGTCCCTATCTCAACTAATTTCTCTACCTCCCTCTCTATCTCCTTGATTCTGTCTCTGCTTCCATCTGTCTCTTTCTTTCCCTCTTTTGCCTTCTCCTTCATGGGTTGTCTCCATCCTCCGTCAGACTTAGTGTACGTCCCCAATGGCACCCTATTCCCTATACACTGAGTGTACAAAATATTAAGGACACCTGTTCTTTCCATGACATAAACTAACCAGGTGAATCCAGGTGAAAGCTATGATCCCTTATTGATGTCACTTGTTGAATCCACTTTAATCAGTGTAGATAAAGGGGAGGAGACAGGTTAAAGAAGGATTTTTAAGCCTAGAGACAATTGAGACATGGATTGTGTATGTGTGCCACTCAGAGGGTGAATGGGCAAGACAAAATATTTAAGTGCCTTTGAACGAGGTATGATAGTAGGTGCGAGGCTCACCGGTTTGTGTCAAAAACCGCAATGCTGCTGGGTTTTTCACGCTCAACAGTTTCCCATGTGTATCAAGAATGGTCCACCACCCAAAGAACATCCAGCCGACTTGACACAACTGTGGGAAGCATTGGAGTCAACATGGGCCAGCATCCCTGTGGAACGCTTTCGACCCCTTGTAGAGTCCATGCCCTGATGAATTGAAGCTGTTCTGAGGGCAACTCAATATTAGGAAGGTGTTCCTAATGTTTGGTATACCCAGAGCTCTATGGACCCTGGTCAAAAGTAGTACACTATATAGGGAATAAGGGTGCCATTTGGGACACAACCCAGCCTTCCTCTGCCCTCCTCAGTGAGTGTTGATGTGCAGAGAGCATATTGTCAGTAATGCAGCTCCAGCTATGCAGCACATCACAGGAGACAGGAAGACAGCCGGGCCACAGGAAATGAAGCCTAATTAACGTGCTATTAACTGAAGGAGAAGGGAAACGCCCAGACTCAAATCAAACACACACATGCTGATGCAAAGGCATACACATTAGAGAAAATACAAACACACGCACACTCACAGATGTAAAAAAACAACAACACACACTTAAGACACGCATTCACTTAAAGACACGCACACGCACACACACTTAAAGACACCCCCCCCCCCACCCACCCACACACACACAACCTGGATCTGACAGGGTAGGGTAGCCTGCTCTTAAGGGACCACCTGAAGTACACTTCTTGCCTCAGAAGAGATATCTTAGTGAGGCTGGGTTTTGTTTGGAGCTGATGAGGTTATCCAGAAAAACCTGTGACCCTTGACCTTAGGGTCACCCGAGGCCACCCGAGGCCGTCTCATTAACAGCAGGTAGCTTACTGGTGAAGAGCGTTGTGCCAGTACCCGAAAGGTCGCTGGTTCTAATCCCCGAGCCGACTAGGTGAAAAATGTGTCGATGTGCCCTTGAGCAAGGCACTTAACCCTAATTGCTCCTGTAAGTCGCTCTGGATAAGAGCGTCTGCTAAATGACGTAAATGTAAATGTAGATAGTGTCCCAAATGGCACCCTATTCCCTACATAGTGCCCTAGCTCGTCAAACGCCGGCCTTTCCGCGGAACACTTGATGACTTTCGGGGAAATCAACTTTAGGTCAGAGATGTTATTATGATGTTGTGAAAGCAGCGGTGCAGTAACTGAACTCAGAACATAAGACAGCCATGGCCGAGAGTCACTGCTATGTAGAAAACCAACCAGAACATTTACTGTAGGTTCTCAAAAAGTGATGTTTTATTCTAGAGTAAAAAGTGAGAATACTAGACATGCACACTTAACTGAAATACTGTAAAACCTCAAATATTGGGAGCGCACATCAATGTGCATGTACACTTTCTTTATTACATGATGTATTTTTGTGTTATTGTGCACATCCCTGTGAGAGATTTTGACATGACCAACTTAAAACCTCAACCTTACCCAGTGGAAGAGTCCACTATGATAGCACGGGGGTTGACCATGTCGGTGTCGAAGAGAGTCTGTCTCCCGCTGCCGTCCAGGTTAGCACGTTCGATCTTGTCCGGCGTGCTATCCACCCAGAACATGGCCCTGCGCACCACGTCCACCGCCAAGCCCTCTGGACTGGTCAGACCTAAGGACAATGGACAGTCATAAAGGTTATTCAGTTGAACATAGTAAATACCTGAAATGTAAACGTAGTAGTCAGTTATCTGTGAAGGTGACTGCAGAGTGTGTGTTAACTGTGTTGGTAGTGTGTGTGTTATACCTTTGTTGATTCTGTTATCTGTGTTGGCTGTGTGAAATGCCCTTGTTGTCTGTGTTACCAGTGGGTGTGAGTCAGTGTTTCCATCAGCCGGTAAAGGCCTGCTTTTGGGCGTATATATATATATATATATATATATATAAAGCTGATAAATCAAATTGTCAGAGGGAAGTAAAAAACCCATTGTGAAATAATGCTTTTTAGCCTATTCATTGATGGAAATACCAGTTGATGGAAATACATGCTTATAGGCCTATGGGTTCATTTGCATAATTTAGTGGAATTAAATTGCTGCGTGTGTATATTTGTTATGTATCTTATTTATCACACTCGCACAGCATACAGATGCAGTCATTGTGCAACAATTCTAAATGTAATCGTGTGTTAAAAATATTTTTGGGGCCACGATTAAAAAGAGCTACTATTTTTATTTCTCGACTGGTAATTGAAATGCGCTTCCCATTCGCCATTCAAATGCATAGGCAACGGAATGCAGGCTTCATCAGCGCGTCACACACCACTTTGCAATGTCCTGGAGGTAGTATGCATTTTGAAAACATATAGCTGTTTTACTACATATTATGAGTCATGTTTTACCTTGCTTCAAAGTAGCCTAAGCAAAATCCGACCATATCCATGGAGGCAATTCTTTTATAAAGACGTCCATATGCTATTGAAACCAGTAGCCTATTTCTCTCATGTTCTATTGGTTTTCAACATTCTTTCATTGTCCGGTAGCCAAATGCACATTTGCGCGTCGCCTACTGCCTTGTGTGCATTGCTGCGCTAATAATGTTAAGAAATAATAGTTTATCAACATTTTAAGCTAAACGTTCTGATCTGTTGCATCAGATTCATTGCCTTTTAAACTTGTTTTTTTGCTTTTGTATGTAGCCTAGGCCTACTGGTTGTATGAATTTGGGATCTATCGTCACACAACTGTCCCAGAGTCTGTTTGGGCTATTTCTTTCTCAACAAGCTGACCAATAGAATAGGTCAACTGTTCTACTATAGGGTATAGTAGATTGACATAGGCTCATAGGCGGTGTGTCGATAAGGCTAGGGGAAGCTTTCCCTAAGTAAATTGAATTAAATTGCCAAAATTATATAGCCTAATTAGCCTACTCCTGTCTATACAGAAATAAATAAAATAATTCAAAATAGGCTACTAAAGCATGATTTGGCCAGAGGATCATTAGCCTTAAAAAGTTGTGGAAAGGCAGCATGCACAATTTAGGCAGAGAGTGCGGCAAATACCTAATAGATTATTGTTGAGTTGCGACTGTCAGTGAAAAGTAGAGCCAAGCATATAGCAATATCTCAAAATTAAATCACAGAAAAACATAGTTTGGAAAGCAAATGGCTGTAAAGAGAAGACAATGAAAATACTCTAATCTGTCTTTTAGTTAACAAAATTCTCAATTTAATTGAGAGAACAACAGTAGCCCTATAGCCTATTTTATTGGCACCAGCTGAGAGCATCGGCCATACCGTGAGGGAAAAAAGTATTTGATCCCCTGCTGATTTTGTACGTTTGCCCACTGACAAAGACATGATCAGTCTATAATTTTAATGGTAGGTTTATTTGAACAGTGAGAGACAGAATAACAATGCATGTCAAAAATGTTATAAATTGATTTGCATTTTAATGAGGGAAATAAGTATTTTACACCCTCTCAATCAGAAAGATGTCTGGCTCCCAAGTGTCTTTTATACAGGTAACGAGCTGAGATTAGGAGCACACTCTTAAAGGGAGTGCTCCTAATCTCCTAATCTTATTTTGTTACCTGTATAAAAGACACCTATCCACAGAAGCAATCAATCAGATTCCAAACTCTCCATCATGGCCAAGACCAAAGAGCTCTCCAAGGATGTCAGGGACAAGATTGTAGACCTACACAAGGCTGGAATGGGCTACAAAACCATCGCCAAGCAGCTTGGTGAGAAGGTGACAACAGTTGGTGCGATTATTCGCAAATGGAAGAAACACAAAAGCACTGTCAATCTCCCTCGGCCTGGGGCTCCATGCAAGATCTCACCTCGTGGAGTTGCAATGATCATGAGAACGGTGAGGAATCAGCCCAGAACTACACGGGAGGATCTTGTCAATGATCTCAAGGCAGCTGGGACCATAGTCACCAAGAAAAACAATTGGTAACACACTACGCCATGAAGGACTGAAAGCCTCCAGCGCCCGCAAGGTCCCCCTGCTCAAGAAAGCACATATACAAGCCCATCTGAAGTTTGCCAATGAACATCTGAATGATTCAGAGGAGAACTGGGTGAAAGTGTTGTGGTCAGATGAGACCAAAATCGAGCTCTTTGGCATCAACTCAACTCGCCGTGTTTGGAGGAGGAAGAATGCTGCCTATGACCCCAAGAACACCATCCCCACCATCAAACATGGAGGTGGAAACATTATGCTTTGGGGGTGTTTTTCGGCTAAGGGGACAGGACAACTTCACTGCATCAAAGGGACGATGGACGAGGCCATGTACCGTCAAATCTTGGGTGAGAACCTCCTTCCCTCAGCCAGGGCATTGAAAATGGGTCGTGGATGGGTATTCCAGCATGACAATGACCCAAAACACACGGCCAAGGCAACAAAGGAGAGGCTCAACAAGAAGCACATTAAGGTCCTGGAGTGGCCTAGTCAGTCTCCAGACCTTAATCCCATAGAAAATCTGTGGAGGGAGCTGAAGGATTGAGTTGCCAAACGTCAGCCTCGAAACCTTAATGACTTGGAAAAGATCTGCAAAGAGGAGTGGGACAAAATCCCTCCTGAGATGTGTGCAAACCTGGTGGCCAACTACAAGAAACGTCTGACCTCTGTGATTGCCAACAAGGGTTTTCACACCAAGTACTAAATCATGTTTTGCAGAGGGGTCAAATACTTATTTCCCTCATTAAAATGCAAATCAATTCATAAAATTTTTGACATGCGTTTTTCAGGATTTTGTTGTTGTTATTCTGTCTCTCACTGTTCAAATAAACCTACCATTAAAATTATAGACTGATTATGTCTTTGTCAGTGGGCAAACATACACAATCAGCAGGGGATTAAATACTTTTTTCCCTCACTGTATCTCCGGTGAGTGCGCATTGCACATATTCACTCTTTATCATTGTTGGGTCAGTGCCACTTAAAAGTTAGTTTTTCGACAATCATTTGTTCCTACAGTTTACATGGATGTCATATATTATTTGTGTCTCCCCTTCTCATATACCTATTATATGGACAACGTCGTTTTTATTGATCGCTCTAATTTTTCATATTAAAAAAGATTCTGCTAATGTCTCCAGTCATATACAGTGGGGGAAAAAAGTATTTAGTCAGCCACCAATTGTGCAAGTTTTCCCACTTAAAAAGATAAGAGAGGCCCGTAATTTTCATCATAGGTACACGTCAACTATGACAGACAAATTGAGAATTTTTTTCTCCAGAAAATCACATTGTAGGATTTTTAATGAATGTATTTGCAAATTATGGTGGTCACCTACAAACAAGCAATATTTCTGGCTCTCACAGACCTGTAACTTCTTCTTTAAGAGGCTCCTCTGTCCTCCACTCGTTACCTGTATTAATGGCACCTGTTTGAACTTGTTATCAGTATAAAAGACACCTGTCCACAACCTCAAACAGTCACACTCCAAACTCCACTATGGCCAAGACCAAAGAGCTGTCAAATGACACCAGAAACAAATTTGTAGACCTGCACTAGGCTGGGAAGACTGAATCTGCAATAGGTAAGCAGCTTGGTTTGAAGAAATCAACTGTGGGAGCAATTATTAGGAAATGGAAGACATACAAGACCACTGATAATCTCCCTCGATCTGGGGCTCCACGCAAGATCTCACCCCGTGGGGTCAAAATGATCACAAGAACGGTGAGCAAAAATCCCAGAACCACACGGGGGGACCTAGTGAATGACCTGCAGAGAGCTGGGACCAAAGTAACAAAGCCTACCATGAGTAACACACTACGCCGCCAGGGACTCAAATCCTGCAGTGCCAGACGTGTCCCCTTGCTTAAGCCAGTACATGTCCAGGCCCGTCTGAAGTTTGCTAGAGTGCATTTGGATGATCCAGAAGAGGATTGGGAGAATGTCATATGGTCAGATGAAACCAAAATAGAACTTTTTGGTAAAAACTCAACTCGTCGTGTTTGGAGGACAAAGAATGCTGAGTTGCATCCAAAGAACACCATACCTACTGTGAAGCATGGGGGTGGAAACATCATGCTTTGGGGCTGTTTTTCTGCAAAGGGACCAGGACGACTGATCCGTGTAAAGGAAAGAATGAATGGGGTCATGTATCGTGAGATTTTGAGTGAAAACCTCCTTCCATCAGCAAGGGCATTGAAGATGAAACGTGGCTGGGTCTTTCAGCATGACAATGATCCCAAACACACCGCCCGGGCAATGAAGGAGTGGCTTCGTAAGAAGCATTTCAAGGTCCTGGAGTGGCCTAGCCAGTCTCCAGATCTCAACCCCATAGAACATCTTTGGAGGGAGTTAAAAGTCCGTGTTGCCCAGCGACAGCCCCAAAACATCACTGCTCTAGAGGAGATCTGCATGGAGGAATGGGCCAAAATACCAGAAACAGTGTGTGAAAACCTTGTGAAGACTTACAGAAAACGTTTGACCTGTGTCATTGCCAACAAAGGGTATATAACAAAGTATTGAGAAACTTTTGTTATTGACCAAATACTTATTTTCCACCATAATTTGCAAATAAATTCATTAAAAATCCTACAATGTGATTTTCTGGATTTTTTTTCCTCATTTTGTCTGTCATAGTTGACGTGTACCTATGATGAAAATTACAGGCCTCTCTCATCTTTTTAAGTGAGAGAACTTTCACAATTGGTGGCTGACTAAATACTTTTTTTCCCCACTGTAAAGTGTAGTAGAATTGCATGAAATGTGTTTTTCCCGTGCAATGAAAGAAGAAACGTATCTGATATAGCCTATAGCCCAGGCCTCTACGCTATACGTGCTCAGCCATGCATTGAACAGTCTTTTTTGCAAACAGTGATTGAGTTATATTATTAGCCAAAATAATAATGCAAAATGTCCGGTGCCACATTTTCATAATGGAAACCCTGGTGTGAGTATACCTGTGTTGATGAGAGTCTCAGGATCGGCCCCAGGCTCCAGTTTGGCTCTGTTGATGGTCCTGCCTGCCAGGTCGGTCCAGTACACCTTCTTCTCCCTGCAGTCATAGTCGATGCCCACCACAATGGAGCCCTGTGGAGACACACATACTTTTATACACTTAGACTTACAATCTACCAGTTCAACACAGTGACACAAAACCATATGAATCTACAGTGGTGAGTGCCGTGAACTTCACTTAAGGCCTAGAAAGAACACAGAAATTGTGAATGGCTGACATACAATGAGATATTCCTAGCTGTTCAATATTACAAACTCTAGATTAAGCTCTTGTAAGGACTAGTATGGAGTGGCCTATTGTTCTTCCTTACATGCAGAGCCAGTAGTGTAGAGGAGCGTTCCGAGTCCATGAGTGTGCCATTGAGAGGCAGTGCTCCAATCTGCTGTCCCTGGGCGTACAGGAGGGAGGTGCCTGAGGGGGGCGGGGTCACATCAGGGCGAGGCAGAGGGTGCATGGTGGGAGGGGCTACAGTGGGGATACCTGGAGGGGGGTGGGTGAGAAGAAGGAAGAAAGTCAGGATAAAACATTGACAGATGGTACTGTATTAGAAGTTGTTAATTAACCTACCTGTGTAGATAACTAACTAACTAACTAAATGATACCTCACATTATCATAATTCAAATGTTCATCCCAAACCTCAAATTCACATCAACAAATGTTTATCCAGTTTAAGATACATGTCACAGATTAGCATTCAACATTTAATCCTACAAATTTGAAAATGTGAAAAGATGTAACGTTACTCACAGGCAGGCTTGACCACGTCGTGCGAGCGCGTCCCGGCCACCTCGCGGCCGTCCCGGTCCACACACCAGCAGTAGCTGCTGTCGCCATAGCACTGGATGGGGTTGAACTGACCCTGGGGGTCGCACTGGGGCAGGTAGTGGTGAGGCTCGGGCTTGCCCCCGTAGTGATCCACCAGGCTGGCCCGCCAACGCTCGCACACCGTCTCCGGCCGCTGGGTAGGGGGCACTACCGCTGAGGGAGAGAGGGGGACAGAGGGAGAGGGCACATGGGTCATGTACAGTAAGTAGGGCTAGGAGAAACTCAGGTATTTTTGTATTGAATGAATTCACTTTATTTGGATAAGCCCAAATAGATGGTTTATAGATGTTCAGTAGATGTTCAACTAACTGTCAGCAACATTTCAACTAACTAACTACTACAAACCCTAACCTTAACCTAAACTTAACCCTAACTCTAACCCTAATCTTAACCTTTACCCTAACCTTAAACCTAACTGTAACCCTGGCAAACGGTTGCATATCAACAGAGTTGCAGTTGATAGTTTGTTGATAGTGTGAGCATCTATAGATCATCTATAGGGGACGAGCCAAATAAAGTGTCACTGAAAGTAATTCGTTCTGTCCTCCTGCACCAAGGGTACCGTGTGGCTCAGTTGGTAGAGCATGGCGCTTGAAACGCCAGGGTTGTGGGTTTGATTCCCACGGGGGACCAGTCTGAGAATGTATGAACTCACTACTGCTAAATTACTAAAATGTCGATCATCAAATCATCACGTCGGGACACCAATTGATCATCGAATGATGACCAAAGTTTCAAAGTATGTGGATGGTTCGTACACTCTTCTTTCACATGGTCCTTTCTATGACTAAGTAAGCTGTTATGCCCGAGTTCCAATGTGTTATCTTCAACACTTGCAGTAAATCCAACTGCATGCACAGTCAACAGTTCCACTTCAAAATCTAAATTTTCCTGACAAGGAAAAGCGAACTAATAAGAAAAACAGACTAAAGTTTGACGCAATGTGAGCTCTAAAGACTATGGGCTCGATTCAATCAGATCCGCTTTAGCCAACACTGCATAGCGGTTGTGTTGGCGCTATCGACGTGGAACACCTCATTATTTTGTCTAAATTATTTTTCAATTTGAGCATAATTATTTCTATATATCCTACACTTTCTCATTCTGAACTTCTAACGCATGTGGCTTCGTGACAATGATCTAAAGAGCAGCTGCTCACCAACGCAGTTCCACCTCCGACATGCCAAATCATCTGCTATGCGGGTGTCTGCTATCGCCGGTTAATGCTTGATCTTATTGAATCTAGGCCTATGTTTGAAAATGCATGCTGTATTACTAACCTACCTAGCTCACATTGTGACAAGTCGGTCTTTGAAGACGAGACAATATTATAAACAACTGTGGTCAGGGGTTAATTCTCCAGGAATGTGTTAATAGCCAGAGTCAAGCGTAGTGCTTCATGAGTAATGCGTACATTTAGACTGTGAAACGTTATATGACTCTGGTAGAAATCCCCCATTGCACTTTTAAGGGCCGTCCAATGGCTGTGGACAAACACACACTCCAGCGTGGTATGTCCGACCCCTTACACACACATCAGTCTCTTTCACACACAAGCACACCTGTACACACGCTCGCACGCACGCACACACACACTCACCCCCTCCCTTGTCACCTACCCACGTATACATTCTTATGAATTTTCAAGTGTTTACTTTATCAAATCCAACTTGATAACATGCTTTCAGGTGCACTTAAAACATACCACTTTAGGTTAAACGGCCAAGTCCAAAAATAATATATATCTCTGAAACTGTTAAAAACAACAACAAACCGAAAGTTCTATTTTTTTCCAACTCAAGAGTCCTACACGGACACAAAAAGTATGTTTTTTGTGACGTGGGAGAGAAGAGCATACATTGGGCACAGTGTAGAAGACGCAGGGTGTTTCGGCAGGAAAACCATGGGCGAACCACATCACTGACCTACCTCCTCCGCCTAACATATGATCACCTAAAAATATAGACCCGACTGCGTGACTTGGCACCATTTACTCGGTTCAAATGAAAGTGATTACTCATATGCAATGAGGAGCTGAGCTGGGGCTTTACAGGGCGTAACACATTATTGGTGCCTAATCTTTATACGATCCCATTTTGTTTAGCTGTATTACATAGCAACAGTGTCTGCTGCCTGGCTTTAATTCTAAACCTAGAGAAAATATTTAAGTGTGTCTGAGCTGGCCACATGAGGTGGATTGCATTGCAGCATGAACCTCCAGGTGTGTGTGTGTGTGTGTGTGTGTGCTCTTGCAATTGGTGGTGTTTATGCATGTGTATTAGTGTATACAGGTGTGTTGTGTGTACGTCAAATATATGCACGTAAACTCCTCTCACCTGGTTCGTCACAGTTAGGTTGCGAAGTACCGGGTGGTTTCCTGGTCCCTGCCCTCTCCTGCCCCCTGCTGTCCACACACCAGCAGTGTCCTGTAGAACCGTGGCACTGCAGGGCTCTGTACTGGCCCTGTTCATCACACTGGGGTACAAAGGCCCCACCAACGTTCCCCTCAGGACTGGTTGTCTGCAGACTGTCTCTCTGGTGTTCACAATGAGTCTTGGGCCTCTCAGGGTGATCTGTAGAGGCAGGTAAGGGGTTATTGACAGTTGTAACTCTACTAGCTTAAACTCACATGCTTGCAATTGCCTGGCCAGAATGTGAAAATATTTACTTGAGTGGGAAAAATTAGGCACATGCCATCTTAATGACGTCATTGTCTGGTGTAAATTGTTTTTCTGATTGACACAACGTCATATAGAGTGAGGGAAAAAAGTATTTGATCCCCTGCTGATTTTGTATGTTTGCCCACTGACAAAGACATGATCAGTCTATAATTTTAATGTTAGGTTTATTTGAACAGTGAGAAACAGAATAACAACAACAAAATCCAGAAAAACGCATGTCAAAAATGTTATAAATTGATTTGCATTTGAATGAGGGAAATAAGTATCTGACCCCTCTGCAAAACATGACTTAGTACTTGGTGGCAAAACCCTTGTTGGCAATCACAGAGGTCAGACGTTTCTTGTAGTTGGCCACCAGGTTTGCACATATCTCAGGAGGGATCTTTTCCCACTCCTCTTTGCAGATCTTCTCCAAGTCATTAAGGTTTCGAGGCTGACGTTTGTCAACTCGAACCTTCAGCTCCCTCCACATATTTTCTATGGAATTAAGGTCTGGAGACTGGCTAGGCCACTTGGCCGTGTGTTTTGGGTCATTGTCATGCTGAAATACCCATCCACGACCCATTTTCAATGCCCTGGCTGAGGGAAGGAGGTTCTCACCCAAGATTTGACGGTACATGGCCCCGTCCATCGTCCCTTTGATGCGGTGAAGTTGTCCTGTCCCCTTAGCAGAAAAACACCCCCAAAGCATAATGTTTACACCTCCATGGTTGACGGTGGGGATGGTGTTCTTGGGGTCATAGGCAGCATTCCTCCTCCTCCAAACACGGCGAGTTGAGTTGATGCCAAAGAGCTCGATTTTGGTCTCATCTGACCACAACACTTTCACCCAGTTCTCCTCTGAATCATTCAGATGTTCATTGGCAAACTTCAGACAGCCCTGTATATGTGCTTTTTTGAGCAGGGGGACCTTGCGGGCGCTGCAGGATTTCTATCCTTCACGGCGTAGTGTGTTACCAATTGTTTTCTTGGTGACTATGGTCCCAGCTGCCTTGAGATCATTGACAAGATCCTCCCGTGTAGTTCTGGGCTGATTCCTCACCCTTCTCATGATCATTGCAACTCCACGAGGTGAGATCTTGCATGGAGCCCCAGGCCGAGGGAGATTGACAGTTCTTTTGTGTTTCTTCCATTTGCGAATAATCGCACCAACTGTTGTCACCTTCTCACCAAGCTGCTTGGCGATGGTCTTGTAGCCCATTCCAGCCTTGTGTAGGTCTACAATCTTGTCCCTGACATCCTTGGAGAGCTCTTTGGTCTTGGCCATGGTGGAGAGTTTGGAATCTGATTGATTGATTGCTTCTGTTGACAGGTGTATTTTATATAGGTAACAAGCTGAGATTAGGAGCACTCCCTATCTCAGCTCGTTACCTGTATAAAAGACACCTGGAGGCCAGAAATCTTTCTGATTGAGAGGGGGTCAAATACTTATTTCCCTCATTGAAATGCAAATCAATTTATAACATTTTTGACATGCGTTTTACTGTATTTTTTGTTGTTATTCTGTCTCTCACTGTTCAAATAAACCTACCATTAAAATTATAGACTGATCATTTCTTTGTCAGTGGGCAAACGTACAAAATCAGCAGGGGATCAAATACTTTTTTCCCTCAATGTAACCACATTACAACCAACTGGACTCTGTTATGTCCAGGTAAAGATGGCTATTTCATGACAACATCAAGACATCTTTTGGTTGTTATTACCAGATTACAACCAGTATACAACCTAACCATGACATCATAAAAGACGTCAATTTATTGTAACCAGTTTTGCTCACTGGTTATAGTTAGTTATTCGGAATTTTACAGATACAACATGGATATTACTGTTATTATCCGTAATGTGTTTAGCATTAAACTCACCTGGTTCATTACAGTTAGGCTGGCTAGTACCGGGTGGTTTCCTGGTCCCTGCTCTCTCCTGCCCCCTGCTGTCCACACACCAGCAGTGTCCTGTAGAACTGTGGCACTGCAGGGCTCTGTATTGACCCTGCTCATCGCACTCAGGCACAAACACCCCCAGGATAGGGTACCCCTCAGGACTGGTTGTCTGGACACGGTCTTTATACTGCTCACATTGAGTCTTGGGCCTCTCAGGACGATCTGTAGAGACAGGTAAGGGGTTAAACCAGGTAACTGATCAATCCAATCATACCTTGCAAAAAATTGGTTGTGGTGGTATTTCCGGTACAAAATACTAACTTGGTAAAACGAAATTTCCTCAAATGTTCTAATATGTCAAAGCAATGGATTATACATTTAATTCTGGTAGTAAATGTTTATGCTTATGCCTTGAGTCAAGGTGTTTGCTTTATTATTGTTTACTACATGTGGTAGCATGCTAGCTATTGTCTTTGGTAGCTAGTGCAAAAGCTAGCACAGATGCGTTAACCGGAGCTAGCCAACAAGCTAACTGGCCAGGTAAAATTGAAAAGAGAAAAGGGAGAACTTTTTACTTCGCCCAAATGGCAACTTAGTTAGCTACCTATTAAAAGATCCACAACTTGTGTTCAGCGACCAGTCAAAATCCAGTGCTCCTTACCAAGCTAGCTAGCTTCAGTTAGCTTGTCAGCTAGCTACCGCTAGTAAATGTAGTAACATTCGCTAATGTCTATGGGAAGGCTAGTGGAGATAGGGATTTGCAGTTTTTTGGCTCATGATTTTCCAGAAATCTACACTCTACATGCCACAGTTAATTATAACAAAGCAAAAAGGCTCAAGGAAGGGCCACTTAGTGTAATATCTTAGGTATCGGACTGACATGAGTTTGAGTCCCAGTCGGACTTCTCCCTGAATTTGCTGCGTTGGTGTCAGTGTGGGATGCTACTCCTGTAAGGCCATCAAAAGTGTGTCCCTGTGCAAGACACATACAGATCAGTAGAGGGGGGCATTAAAGTTAAAACTCCTACCTGTTTCGTCACAATTAGGCTGGCTAGTACCGGGTGGTTTCCTGGTCCCTGCTCTCTCCTGCCCCCTGCTGTCCACACACCAGCAGTGTCCTGTAGAACTGTGGCACTGCAGGGCTCTGTATTGACCCTGCTCATCGCACTCAGGCACAAACACCCCCACGATAGGGTACCCCTCAGGACTGGTTGTCTGGACACGGTCTTTATACTGCTCACAATGAGTCTTGGGCCTCTCAGGACGATCTGTAGAGACAGGTAAGGGGTTAAACCAGGTAACTGATCAATCCAATCATACCTTGCAAAAAATTGGTTGTGGTGGTATTTCCGGTACAAAATACTAACTTGGTAAAACGAAATTTCCTCAAATGTTCTAATATGTCAAAGCAATGGAATATACATTTAATTCTGGTAGTAAATATTTATGCTCACGCCTTGAGTCAAGGTGTTTGCTTTATTATTGTTTACTACATGTGGTAGCATGCTAGCTATTGTCTTTGGTAGCTAGTGCAAAAGCTAGCACAGATGCGTTAACCGGCGCTAGCCAACAAGCTAACTGGCCAGGTAAAATTGAAAAGAGAAAAGGGAGAACATTTTACTTCGCCCAAATAGCAACTTAGTTAGCTAGCTATTAAAAGATCCACAACTTGTGTTCAGCGACCAGTCAAAATCCAGTGCTCCTTACCAAGCTAGCTAGCTTCAGTTAGCTTGTCAGCTAGCTACCGCTAGTAAATGTAGTAACATTCGCTAGTGTCTATGGGAAGGCTAGTGGAGATAGGGATTTACAGTTTTTTGGCTCATGATTTTCCAGAAATCTACACTCTACATGCCACAGTTAATTATAACAAAGCAAAAAGGCTCAAGGAAGGGCATCTTAGTGTAATATCTTCGGTATCGGACTGACATGAGTTTGAGTCCCAGTCGGACTTCTCCCTGAATTTTCTGCGTTGGTGTCAGTGTGGGATGCTACTCCTGTAAGGCCATCAAAAGTGTGTCCCTGTGCAAGACACATACAGATCAGTAGAGGGGGGCATTAAAGTTAAAACTCCTACCTGTTTCGTCACAATTAGGCTGGCCAGTACCGGGTGGTTTCCTGGTCCCTGCTCTCTCCTGCCCCCTGCTGTCCACACACCAGCAGTGTCCTGTAGAACCGTGGCACTGCAGGGCTCTGTATTGACCCTGCTCATCGCACTCAGGCACAAACACCCCCACGATAGGGTACCCCTCAGGACTGGTTGTCTGGACACGGTCTTTATACTGCTCACATTGAGTCTTGGGCCTCTCAGGACGATCTGTAGAGACAGGTAAGGGGTTAAACCAGGTAACTGATCAATCCAATCATACCTTGCAAAAAATTGGTTGTGGTGGTATTTCCGGTACAAAATACTAACTTGGTAAAACGAAATTTCCTCAAATGTTCTAATATGTCAAAGCAATGGATTATACATTTAATTCTGGTAGTAAATGTTTATGCTTACGCCTTGAGTCAAGGTGTTTGCTTTATTATTGTTTACTACATGTGGTAGCATGCTAGCTATTGTCTTTGGTAGCTAGTGCAAAGGTTAGTACAAATGCGTTAACCGGAGCTAGCCAACAAGCTAACTGGCCAGGTAAAATTGAAAAGAGAAAAGGGATAACTTTTTACTTCGCCCAAATGGCAACTTAGTTAGCTAGCTATTAAAAGATCCACAACTTGTGTTCAGCGACCAGTCAAAATCCAGTGCTCCTTACCAAGCTAGCTAGCTTCAGTTAGCTTGTCATCTAGCTACCGCTAGTAGATGTAGTAACATTCGCTAATGTCTATGGGAAGGCTAGTGGAGATAGGGATTTGCAGTTTTTTGGCTCATGATTTTCCAGAAATCTACACTCTACATGCCACAGTTAATTATAACAAAGCAAAAAGGCTCAAGGAAGGGCCACTTAGTGTAATATCTTAGGTATCGGACTGACATGAGTTTGAGTCCCAGTCGGACTTCTCCCTGAATTTGCTGCGTTGGTGTCAGTGTGGGATGCTACTCCTGTAAGGCCATCAAAAGTGTGTCCCTGTGCAAGACACATACAGATCAGTAGAGGGGGGCATTAAAGTTAAAACTCCTACCTGTTTCATCACAATTAGGCTGGCCAGTACCAGGTGGTTTCCTGGTCCCTGCTCTCTCCTGCCCCCTGCTGTCCACACACCAGCAGTGTCCTGTAGAACCGTGGCACTGCAGGGCTCTGTATTGACCCTGCTCATCGCACTCAGGCACAAACACCCCCAGGATAGGGTACCCCTCAGGACTGGTTGTCTGGACACGGTCTTTATACTGCTCACATTGAGTCTTGGGCCTCTCAGGACGATCTGTAGAGACAGGTAAGGGGTTAAACCAGGTAACTGATCAATCCAATCATACCTTGCAAAAAATTGGTTGTGGTGTTATTTCCGGTACAAAATACTAACTTGGTAAAACAAAATTTCCTCAAATGTTCTAATATGTCAAAGCAATGGATTATACATTTAATTCTGGTAGTAAATGTTTATGCTCACGCCTTGAGTCAAGGTGTTTGCTTTATTATTGTTTACTACATGTGGTAGCATGCTAGCTATTGTCTTTGGTAGCTAGTGCAAAAGCTAGCACAGATGCGTTAACCGGAGCTAGCCAACAAGCTAACTGGCCAGGTAAAATTGAAAAGAGAAAAGGGAGAACATTTTACTTCGCCCAAATGGCAACTTAGTTAGCTAGCTATTAAAAGATCCACAACTTGTGTTCAGCGACCAGTCAAAATCCAGTGCTTCTTACCAAGCTAGCTAGCTTCAGTTAGCTTGTCAGCTAGCTACCGCTAGTAAATGTAGTAACATTCGCTAATGTCTATGGGAAGGCTGGTGGAGATAGGGATTTGCAGTTTTTTGGCTCATGATTTTCCAGAAATCTACACTCTACATGCCACAGTTAATTATAACAAAGCAAAAAGGCTCAAGGAAGGGCCACTTAGTGTAATATCTTAGGTATCGGACTGACATGAGTTTGAGTCCCAGTCGGACTTCTCCCTGAATTTGCTGCGTTGGTGTCAGTGTGGGATGCTACTCCTGTAAGGCCATCAAAAGTGTGCCCCTGTGCAAGACACATACAGATCAGTAGAGGGGGGCATTAAAGTTAAAACTCCTACCTGTTTCGTCACAGTTAGGCTGGCCAGTACCGGGTGGTTTCCTGGTCCCTGCCCTCTCCTGCCCCCTGTTGTCCACACACCAGCAGTGTCCTGTAGAACCGTGGCACTGCAGGGCTCTGTATTGACCCTGCTCATCGCACTGAGGCACAAAGACCTCCAGGATAGGGTACCCCTCAGGACTGGTCGTCTGGACACTGTCTCTGTGGTGTTCACAATGAGTCTTAGGCCTCTCAGGGCGATCTGTAGAGACAGGTAAGGGGTTAATAAAGGGTGCTCAGACACACACACATACACAGACACAATGCTCTTAGTTGTTGTGCCAACTCAAATACTTCTAGTAAGTTGAATTTAAAGTCAATGAAAAGTCATTATTACTTAAAATGTTTATGTGGTACTGACTCAAAACTAAATGAGAAGTCACACCAACTTTATTTTTTTAAAGTTATGATAACAAATTAACTTTTTTCCTAAGCATGCTCTACTGCATGTAGATTTTTTGAATTGTTTTTAATATCTGTGTTTATGCATGTACATTGTGATTGATTGATTAATCTTCTGCTACAAAAATATACACTGCTGCCTGCAACATCCTCCAGCATGACCGGTTTGGCGGTGGGTCAGTCATGGTGTGGGGTGGCATTTCTTTGGGAGGCCGCACAGCCCTCCATGTGCTCGCCAGAGGTAGCCTGACTGCCATTAGGTACCGAGATGAGATCCTCAGACCCCTTGTGAGACCATATGCTGGTGCGGTTGGCCCTGGGTTCCTCCTAATGCAAGACAATGCTAGACCTCATGTGGCTGGAGTGTGTCAGCAGTTCCTGCAAGAGGAAGGCATTGATGCTATGGACTGGCCCGCCCGTTCCCCAGACCTGAATCCAATTGAGCACATCTGGGACATCATGTCTCGCTCCATCCACCAACGCCACGTTGCACCACAGACTGTCCAGGAGTTGCCGGATGCTTTAGTCCAGGTCTGGGAGGAGATCCCTCAGGAGACCATCCGCCACCTCATCAGGAGCATGCCCAGGCGTTGTAGGGAGGTCATACAGGCACGTGGAGGCCACACACACTACTGAGCCTCATTTTGACTTGTTTTAAGGACATTACATCAAAGTTGGATCAGCCTGTAGTGTGGTTTTCCACTTTAATTTTGAGGGTGACTCCAAATCCAGACCTCCATGGGTTGATACATTTGATTTCCATTGATAATTTTTGTGTGATTTTGTTGTCAGCACATTCAACTATGTAAAGAAAAAAGTATTTAATAAGATTATTTCATTCATTCAGATCTAGGATGTGTTATTTTAGTGTTCCCTTAATTTTTTTGAGCAGTGTATATAACATATATTTTTCTAAACTAATCCAATCATTTAATTTGAATTTTTGCATCCGTTACTGAAATGGTTGTTCCAGTTTAAATGGCTTAGGTAGTCTACTCCCACTGTTCCTAACGCTGGCAGTCATTATGAATGCAGGTTGCGGGTGAATACACATTTCAACTGTTGGATATCTTAACTCTGGCTGGATCCCAACAGAAATTACAATTAATGGCCTCCTGAGTTGCGCAGCGGTCTAAGGCACTGCAGTGCTTGAGGTGTCACTACAGATCCAGGTTCGATCCCGGGCTGTGTCGCAGCCGGCCGCGACCGGGAGACCCATGAGGCGACGCACAATTGGCCCAGCATCGTCCGGGTTAGGGGAGGGTTTGGCCGGCCGGGATGTCCTTGTCCCATTGTGCTCTAGCGACTCAGAACGCTTCTGAACTTTTGCTATTTGAGTGTAGTTAACTAACGTTTATATGTTTACTGATTTATATTTGAGTTAAGGCTAATTGATCAAATTGATGTAATCAGTTTCCCACATTTGTTTTTGTAAACTTAGTTATATTTGAGTAATGGTAAATTATAGTTTCTAAGTAAGGTGGACTTTAGTGAACTCAAACGTTTCAAGTACTGCAACGTATACTTATTAAGTGACTTTGACTTAAAAAAGATTGTCGTGTTCACTTCACCATATAGATTTAATTTAACTAGTGTTTTTTATGTATAGAGAAATCAAAATACTAGTACTGCTCACTTCAGCTATTTAAGTTTCTTAACTTAATTTCTTTGAGGCGATCAGTTTCCTAATTTTTTTTTGAAAAAAGTTATCCAGTTTGGAAATCAGCCCAATATTGCTGTTTACTTTGAGCATTGCTGAGTCTACCTTTAAAGTACAAGCCATATTCTTCAAAAATAAATGGGGATATTACATTAGTTGAAATCACCAATGAGCCATCGGAAATCTAATACATTGTGGCTTTAAAGCAAGTGTAGATATAACATGAATTCCAGTAGGGAACACCATCTGCCAAGAGAGAGGAGAGAGAAATTCCTCGACATCACTCGTCCTTTTGAAAAACCAGTTTCTAGGGGGTGTCAACACTTAACTGGTGTATCCTTGACACGGAGGCCTCTCGCCCTCTCTCCCCTCTCTCTCTCCCTGACAGCTTTGTGTATAAAAAAACCATCTGGTGAGTGGTCCCATCCACACTTCCCTCTCAGGGTCAAACAAAAAAACATATTTCTTCTTTATTTTCTCAAGTCGTTCAAAAGCTGTGTTGAATCTGTCGTGGCATCTGGAAGTTAGTACCACTGGTATAGTCTGTTTGAGGCAATAACTACTTCTCTCAGACAAATAAGCACTTCCAGACAATGTGGACACATCGCATTGGAGGTTGAAAAGAGAGGGAGACCGTCGCTGGATGGTTTTAATATGTAGGATTACAATAGAATGTAAGAGTGTCTAGATTAATATGTCAAAAGGTTTCGCCAAAGACTAAATGTGACTAGTTTCAGGAAACTAGGCGTATGTCGCGCGTCACTACTTCACAGGAGAGGCATTTGAACGTAACTTTTTTTATATCAAAATGCGTTTTTTGGCAGAAATGCCTTCTGGAACATGTGAACTTTCATGTGCCTTAATAACAAACTTGTATGCCATCTGTAAATACAAATACAATTGTTAAAGTACGAGCCTAGTTGGTTTAGCCACGGAAAAAGATAGGAACCTTCCCGCTAGCCATGATTGGTTGAGGAAATGGATGGGCTGGACATGTCGAGAGATGAGTTTGGATTGGTCTGCCATGTAGCACGCTTCTGTCTATTACATGAGCTGGTCAGTATATGTTAAGTAATCCTTTCTAATGCTGCTTTTTTTAAAGATATCACGTAGTAGAACTCCAAAAGTGTTGCTCTCCACTTTCTGGAGGACCGAGTTTTGAAATCAGTGGAATGCAACAGAAGACTCCACTATGCAAGTAACCATTTTACTTCACCTTCTGTATTCTGTGCATGTAACAAATAAACTTTGATTTTATTTGATATATTATGTGTTTACCAGAGACAGTAATGTGAAGAACATGACCTGCACCAAAGTCAAATTAGGATATAACGTTAGGCCAACGAGACAGTGTGCAAGTTCTAAAATTCTCAGGTAGAATGCCCTGCTTTTATTTTGTCACACTCACAACCGTAAGCTATTTTCTATAATTGGCTCGCTAATTAACTTGTAAATAATGATCTTGTTGTACATTTATTTTCCTGTAATAATGAAGACAAATTAGCTAAAGTGAAGACGTTGTCAACTATATGATATGGTCATTATTTTAACTGGCTAGCCAGCTAACTTAACATTAGCTAGCTAGCTAACAAGCTAGAAACAAACCAAAAGATTGTTTAGAAAGTTGCTTTTAGTTCCATGGTTTGCTAGATTGACATATACTAAATTCATTTTTAAACTGGTGGGTTTATTGGTGTTATTTTGGACCACCAGGCTGCTAATGTCATGCAGCCTGTAGTTTTTGTGTTTATACTTTTTCATAACGACAACGACAAGTTTATGTCGGACAACAATAGAATGTTGTCACTGCGACAACTGTCGATAGACGTAGTATAAACCATCCTTTAGTCTTGAAATCTTTGGTTGTTTAGTACATAGCCTCACATGTGAATCCTTAAAGAGATGGGTGGGGCTAAGGCTTAAGAGGGTGTGAACGATGCTGAATGGGTGTAGACAAAGAAGAGCTCTCCAGTAGGTTTACCAAAACATTCAAGGGCCATTCTCTCAAAAGTGAGGTTACAAGTTTATCAACTTTCAAAGCAGATTTACTTTCCCATTGTTCCTCAACTGTAGTGTATGATATACCATTTTCTAGCTCTGTCTCTACTTTTATCCAATGTAAAAAACACAATTTAAAATGTTGCTACATAACACCGAATCGAGACGGTCGGTCACAAATATCAACAGTCAAAAGACGGTGGTCAGAAAAAGCATCTACTGCGGAAGAGTTGAGGTTTTACCAAAAGACAAACTTGATGGGATAACATAAGAGTTTAACACAACAAACTGACTATGAATCATACTGGGGACATACGATGCGGCTGAACATTGCTAAGAGCCTTTTTACACACAGCAAATCTGACATTGAAGTAAGGCAGATCTTACTTCACAATTTTCCTTGGAGTAAAAAGGCCCTAAGCTTCTTCTCTCCACACCACAGTGTTCCCCGCTGACCACATCGCCTTTTTTCCTCAATGTGAGGTTCGTCACCGGAGAGGGGCGACACAAAAGTTGAACTATTGTCCACGTTGTGTGAAAAGCACATGTGCTCCACACCATTGAAAACAATGGCAAAACAAGTGCTGTCTCTTTGAAAAGTGTGTTCAGTGTGTGTGTGCATGTGATATGCTGTGTGTCTGAGCAGCTCTCACCTGGTCCGTCGCAGTTGGTGGGGGAAGTTCTGGGCAAAGTCCTGGTCCCTGCTCTCTCCTGCCCCCTATTGTCCACACACCAGCAGTGTCCTGTGGAGCTGTGGCACTGTAGGGCTCTGTACTGACCCTGCTCATCACACTGGGGGACAAAGGCCCCCGGAGCAGGGCCCCCAGGAACAGGCCGGGGCCCCCGGGGAGACAACCCACCCAGCAGGCTGTCTCTGTGCTGCTCACACTGTGTCTTAGGGCGCTCCGGATGCCCTGAGGACCAAGACACATGGAGAACAAGACCTAAGACACAAGGTTCAGTACACCTAGCCTAAACCCCATATCTATGGTGACTCAAAGCTTGTTGGAAGACAGTGCCACTAACTTCTAGGCCTAGTGCATGATGTAAGATTTCGATATGAGACAGTGTGGCACAAAAGCTAATCTAGTTTGCTATGAAGTCTTTTAAGTTTTAATGAGCATCACCATTGCTAGGGACACACTGGAAGCCGTCTCCTTGGAAATTGTGTTGACACTGGCACTGGAAGGAGCCCAGAGTATTGGAGCAGGTGGCCTGGGGATGGCAGGGCTGAGAGCGGCACTCGTCCAAGTCTGTGGCACAACAAGCATAGAGTCAAACACCAAACATCAGAAATTGGGCCAAGTGGACAATATCATAGAACTGGGATCTGGTGGGAAGGGTCGGTGATGATCTTTCACCCACTATAGAACCTTGACTTGAATGTCTATTCTAGTGATTCTAGTTCTATGGCCAACATCAGGGGAGGAGAAAGGGAGGATGGGGTTAAATAAAAGGTGGGGTTAAGCAGCCTGGAGGCTGTTTTCTGGGCCTTTTTGGAGAAACAGGAAGAGTTAACCATCCCGACCTCCCGGTGCTCCTCAGCTGTGCTCTGTGTCTCCTACGCACACATTCTCCCGAAGAGAACATTGAGCCATTGTCTCTCCTCTCTAATCTCTCTCGTCTCTCTTCTTCTCTTTTCCCCTCAGCCCCCTCACCTACATGGAAGCCGGAACAGCCCCTGCTTATTCACTGATTCCCTCCTAATGATTTACTCATGGATTTCATTGGCGTCAATAGCATTGAATGAGTGTACGCAATGATTGTGCAAGAGAGTCAGGGTGCAACAAATTCCCTAACTTAGTAGCCACGCTTGTCAGGCTTATAAACTGGTACATAACTACAAATGTACTCAAGTTACTTGCCTTACTTTTCCACCTCTACTGCTGCAGTAATGATAGCTAAACTGAATTAACATTGAAAAAATTATAGTAATAATACATGGGACTCCCCTTTAATTTGAGAAGTTCTGGGTTGTGAGTACCAAGGTGCGCTATGGCTGCCGCTTCTCCTCTTGAAACGTTGATATTGTTTGCTATCTAGTGTTGATCATTGTGCTTTTTGCTTAATAGGATTTCTTGCTAATAGTTTTACCTTTTGTTGCCTGCTGAGTCTTGCTTGCTGAGTATTAGGATTGCTTTTTACAAACTGCCAGGTTTAATGCCCTGTTTTCCCTACGGGCGCTCCGCAACCTGGGTATTGTACGTCTGGGGGCCTACTGCCAAAGGGTCGCGCTCAGAAAATACCTACACAGCGAGTGACTGAATTGTAAGATTCGCTTGTTCTGAGCGAGTGCTCGCCTCCACAACAAATACATAACTGAGCACCCCGGTGTCAATTCCTCCTCTACTACCCAGAACACCAGTAAGTTTGCTCTGCTGAACAGTACACTCACTCTCTCAATAACAAATCACTGCTTGTTTATGATGCTATCATGGATAAAGATATTGACATGATGTGCTTAAAAGAAACCTGGCAGCAGTCAAATGACTTTATGGTGCTTAATCAAGCTACACCACCAGGCTATTTGTAACTACAAAAACCTCGCTATGTTGGTCGGGGTGGGGGGCTTGCTGTTATCCATCAAACAGACTTCAAGGTTAAAGTCCTTCCAACAGTTGTGCCTTTGCTGCCAAGTTCCTGTCTCTCCTGGATTGTTTCAACATCACACAGCATGTGCAGTTTCCCACACACAACCACTGTGATTATTATTTGACCCTGCAGGTCATCTATGAACGTTTGAAGATCTTGAAGAACTATCTGGCCTTAATGACCATGTACTCTTATAAACTCCACCCGGCACAGCTAGAAGAGGACTGGCCACCCCTCAGAACTTGGTTCCTCTCTAGGTTTCTTCCTAAGTTCCTGCATTTCTAGGGAGTTTTTCCTAGCCACCGTGCTTCTACATCTGCATTTCTTGCTGTTTGGGATTTTAGTTTCTGTATAAGCACTTTGTGACATCTGCTGATGTAAAAAGGGCTTTATAAATACATTTGATTTGAATTTGATGACAAAGGTTATGTTCTGGATCTGGTTTGCTCGACAGGCTTTACCCCCTCCAACCTGTGTGGCCGGGATCTTGCCATCTCAGAACACCTTGCCATCCTGTGTGATGTCCCTTTCCCCCTAACCAAGTTGCGGCAAAAACTGACCATTACATACAGGAACATAAAGTCTCTCAGAAACAGGCTTCAAACACCCAACAGTCCTCATCCTTCTATCCTCGGCCGAGGAGCTCGTGTCTCACTATGACACACTCCTCTCCCCCAGCCTTAGAATAATTGATTGGATTTATATAGCGCTTTTCTACCAACTGAGGTACTCAAAGCACTTTACATAGTAGGGGGAAACTCACCTCATCCACCACCAATGGTGATGCACGGTGACCATTTTTGTGCCAGAACGCTCACCACACATCAGCTATCAGGTGGAGAGGTCAGGATCGATATCTGCCGATTAGGAATGAGGGGGATGATTAGGTGGCCATGATGGAATGGGGCCAGGTTGGGAATTTTGCCATGACACCGGGGTTAACACCTCTACTTTTCCAATAAGTGCGATGGGATTTTTAATAAACACAGAGAGCTACATTCTTCCCCTGGGCCAGATCTACTGCCACCATGGTCTCAGCTTCCACTCCTATGCGGATGACACCCAGCTTTACATCCACACCAAACCCACTTCTCCCTCCCCCGTCTCTGATCAACTGTCTCCGGGATATAAAAAACTGGATGACATCTGATCTACTCAAACTCAACAGCTATAAAACTGAGGTCATGCTGGTGGCTTCCAAGGCTCTCCTCAAAAAAGTGTGTGACCTATTGTTGTCCATTGAGGGCTGCTCCATCTGCCCTCCTCCGAAGTCAGAAATCTGTGTGTCATCCTGGACCTCACTCTCTCCTTCGAGCCTTACATCAACTACCTCACCAATTCCTCCTTTTTCCACCTCCGTAACATCTCCCGACTCCGACCATCCCTCACGGACCCAGTAGCGGAGCCCCTCATACATGCCTTTGTCACATCATGTCTGGACTACTGCAATGGAGTCCTATTCAAGGTGTCCAGCAAAGCACTGGATAGGCTCCAGTACATCCAGAACTCCACTGCCAGGGTCCTCACATGCACCAAACCCTGGGAACGCATCACCCCCACTCTGCTCCACCTTCATTGGCTCCCTGTCAAATTCCGCATCCCCTACAAGATCCTACTCCTCACCTACAAGGCCCTCCATGGCCTTGCCCCCTCATACCTCTCCGACCTCCACCACACACACACACCTCCCGCTGTCTCTGTTCCTCTGACTCTGGACTACTCACCATCCCAAAAATAAGACGGGGACCGGGCATTCAGCACGCTTCTCCTAAACTCTGGAACACACTCCCCCCAGCCACCTGCAATTCTGACTTCATCACCACTTTCAAAAACAGACTCAAACACCACCTGTTCGGCCTGGCTTTCCCTCAGCTTAGCTCTGCCTAACTCAGCTCTAGCTAAACTAAGCAGCTTTTCAGTTTTAACTTGTTTAATTTCTTGTTTTGTTTGTTCTCTCTTTAAATCCCATGTATTATTATTATTATTATATTTAAATGAATCAACGCTGTTGATTTCCTAGTCACTTGTAGGTGATAGTGTGGTTACAATGAATAATTTCCTCAATAAAATGAAGACAATGACAAGATAGAGATCATATCAAGGGAATGTACTGTGCATGCATAATCTTCAAGGGGTTGCAGGCAGCAATGGGGAATTGCAAGGAATGTCCAGCCAGTCTGCAGTTCAGTATAAGTTTGCAGTCCAGTCAGAATTCCAATAGTACAGAACAATTACCTATACAGGTTCGCCCGTCAAAGCCAAACTCGTAGCCGCTCTGGCATTGGCAGCGATGGCTCCCTGGCAGGTTGAAACACTGGGCGTGGGCACCGCACAGGGTAAGGCCCTCAACACACTCATCCACATCTGAGGGAGACGAGAGAGAGAACAGAACTGTTATGTCACAGTTATAGTATCATCAGACCATCAGTTGCATTTTAATGAGGGAAATAAGTATTTGACCCCTCTGCAAAACATGACTTAGTACTTGGTGGCAAAACCTTTGTTGGCAATCACAGAGGTCAGACGTTTCTTGAGGTTGGCCACCAGGTTTGCACACATCTCAGGAGGGATTTTGTCCCACTCCTCTTTGCAGATCTTCTCCAAGTTATTAAGGTTTCGAGGCTGACGTTTGGCAACTCGAACCTTCAGCTCCCTCCACAGATTTTCTATGGGATTAAGGTCTGGAGACTGGCTAGGCCACTCCAGGACCTTAATGTATTTCTTCTTGAGCCACACCTTTGTTGCCTTGGCCGTGTGTTTTGGGTCATTGTCATGCTGGAATACCCATCCACGACCCATTTTCAATGCCCTGGCTGAGGGAAGGAGGTTCTCACCCAAGATTTGACGGTACATGGCCCTGTCCATCGTTCCTTTGATGCGGTAAGTTGTCCTGTCCCCTTAGCAGAAAAACACTCCCGAAGCATAATGTTTCCACCTCCATGTTTGACAGTGGGGATGGTGTTCTTGGGGTCATAGGCAGCATTCCTCCTCCTCCTTCAAACATGGCAAGTTGAGTTGATGCCAAAGAGCTCGATTTTGGTCTCATCTGACCACAACACTTTCACCCAGTTCTCCTCTGAATCATTCAGATGTTCATTGGCAAACTTCAGATGGCCCTGTATATGTGCTTTCTTGAGCAGGGTTGACCTTGCGGGCGCCGCAGGATTTCAGTCCTTCACGGCGTAGTGTGTTACCAATTGTTTTCTTGGTGACTATGGTCCCAGCTGCCTTGAGATCATTGACAAGATCCTCCTGTGTAGTTCTGGGCTGATTCCTCAACATTCTCATGATCATTGCAACTCCACGAGGTGAGATCTTGCATGGAGCCCCAGGCCGAGGGAGATTGACAGTTTTTTTGTGTTTCTTCCATTTGCGAATAATTGCACCAACTGTTGTCACCTTCTCACCAAGCTGCTTGGCGATGGTTTGTAGCCCATTCCAGCCTTGTGTAGGTCTACAATCTTGTCCCTGACATCTTTGGAGAGCTCTTTGGTCTTGGCCATGGTGGAGAGTTTGGAATCTGATTGATTGATTGCTTCTGTGGACAGGTGTCTTTTATTCAGGTAACAAGATGAGATTAGGAGCACTCCCTTAAGACTGTGCTCCTAATCTCAGCTCGTTACCTGTATAAAAGACACCTGGGAGCCAGAAATCTTTCTGATTGAGAGGGGGTCAAATACTTATTTCCCTCATTAAAATTCAAATCAATTTATAAAATTTTTGACATGCGTTTTTCTGGATATTTTTGTTGTTATTCTGTCTCTCACTCTTCAAATAAACCTACCATTAAAATTATAGACTGAACATTTTTTTGTCAGTGGGCAAACATACGAAATCAGCAGGGGATCAAATACTTTTTTCCCTCACTGTATGACAAAGGTCATGTTCTGGATCTCGTGTGCTCGACAGACTTTGCCCCCTTCAACCTGCGTGGCCTGGATCCTACCATCTCAGACCACTTTGCCATCCTCTGTAATGTGCCTTTCCCCCTAACCAAGTTGCGGCAAAAACTGACCATTACAAACAGGAACATAAAGTCTCTCAGAAACAGGCTTCAAACACACAACAGTCCTCATCCTTCTATCCTCGGCCGAGGAGCTCGTGTCTCACTATGACACACTCCTCTTCCCCAGCCTTAGAATAATTGATTGGATTTATATAGCGCTTTTCTACCAACTGAGGTACTCAAAGCGCTTTACATAGTAGGGGGAAACTCACCTCATCCACCACCAATGTGTAGCACCCACCTAGGTAATGCACAGCGACCATTTTTGTGCCAGAACGCTCACCACACATCAGCTATCAGGTGGAGAGGTGAGGAGTGATATCTGCCGATTAAGAATGAGGGGGATGATTAGGTGGCCATGATGGAATGGGGCCAGGTTGGGAATTTTGCCATGACACTGGGGTTAACACCGCTACTTTTCCAATAAGTGCGATGGGAGTTTTAATAAACACAGAGAGCTACATTCTTCCCCTGGGCCAGATCTTCCGCCACCATGGTCTCAGCTTCCACTCCTATGCGGATGACACCCAGCTTTACATCCACACCAAACCCACTTCTCCCTCCCCCGTCTCTGATCAACTGTCTCCGGGATATAAAACACTGGATGACATCTAATCAACTCAAACTCAACAGCTATATAACTGAGGTCATGCTGGTGCCTCCCAAGGCTCTCCTCAAAAAAGTGGGTGATCTATTGTTGTCCATTGAGGGCTGCTCCATCTGCCCTCCTCCGAGGTCAGAAATCTGTGTGTCATTGTCACACCCTGGTGCTGGGACTCATTATTGTTTATCCAGGGTGTGTGCAGTCTATGTGTTTATGTTCTAGGTTGGGTGTCTAGGTTGTTGTTTTTCTAGGTTTGTTCAATGACTCCCAATCGGAGGTAACGAGTGTCAGCTGTTCGGCTCGTTATCTCTGATTGGGAGCCATATTTATTCTGTATGTTTTCCTGTGGGGTTTGTGGGTTTTTGTTTCTTGGTTACATGTTCCGTATGTCAGTGATTTGTAACTTGAGAACTTCACGTATCGTCTTTTGTTTTGTTTTCGTGAGTACGTTTATTAATAAATTATGTTCACTCGCAACGCTGCGCTTTGGTCCGCTTCCTCATTGGTAGACGATCGTGACAGTCATCCTGGACCTCACTCTCTCCTTCGAGCCTTACATCAACTACCTCACCAATTCCTCCTTCTTCCACCTCCGTAACATCTTCCGACTCCGACCATCCCTCACGGACCCAGTAGCGGAGACCCTCATACATGCCTTTGTCACATCATGTCTGGACTACTGCAATGGAGTCCTATTCAAGGTGTCCAGCAAAGCACTGGATAGGCTCCAGTACATCCAGAACTCCACTGCCAGGGTCCTCACATGCACCAAACCCTGGGAACGCATCACCCCCACTCTGCTCCACCTTCATTGGCTCCCTGTCAAATTCTGCATCCCCTACAAGATCCTACTCCTCACCTACAAGGCCCTCCATGGCCTTGCCCCCTCATACCTCTCCGACCTCCTCCACACACACACACCTCCCGCTGTCTCTGTTCCTCTGACTCTGGACTACTCACCATCCCAAAAATAAGACGGGGACCGGGCATTCAGCACGCTTCTCCTAAACTCTGGAACACACTCCCCCCAGCCACCTGCAATTCTGACTTCATCACCACTTTCAAAAACAGACTCAAACACCACCTGTTCGGCCTGGCTTTCCCTCAGCTTAGCTCTGCCTAACTCAGCTCTAGCTAAGCTAAGCAGCTTTTCAGTTTTAACTTGTTTAATTTCTTGTTTTGTTTGTTCTCTCTGTAAATCCCATGTATTATTATTATTATTATTTAAATGAATCAACGCTGTTGATTTCCTAGTCACTTGTAGGTGATAGTGTGGTTACAATGAATAATTTCCTCAATAAAATGAAGACAATGACAAGATAGAGATCTTATCAAGGGAATGACAAGATAGAGATCTTATCAAGGTAATGTACTGTGCATGCATACTCTTCAAGGGGTTGCAGGCAGCAATGGGGAATTGCAAGGAATGTCCAGCCAGTCTGCAGTTCAGTATACGTTTGCAGTCCAGTCAGAATTCCAATAGTACAGATCAATTACCTATACAGGTTCGACCGTCAAAGCCAAACTCGTAGCCGCTCTGGCATTGGCAGCGATGGCTCCCTGGCAGGTTGAAACACTGGGCGTGGGCACCGCACAGGGTAAGGCCCTCAACACACTCATCCACATCTGAAGGAGACGAGAGAGAGAACAGAACTGTTATGTCACAGTTATAGTATCATCAGACCATCAGTTTGAGTAGATTCTCTGTCCGTTTCCACTGCTGAGACCAGACTTGGGTCCAGTGGCATCATTAGGCCTGGGTTTCCGAGGCTTCAGCCCGGATGTTTTTGATCAAACACCAATTTTTTGTTTTGTTTTTACAATTCAGTCTGATATGAGTTTCCATAAACACACATCACTTGTCCTATGCAGTATAACAAATAAAACAATTCGGACACATTTTTATGACAAAAATAAACAATACAATATACTGCGCTATGCAGTACCATGTACTGCAAGAAGTCCCTGGAGTGACATGGTGCCTGCTGTGATTGGTCAAGATTTAACAACGCAATGGACCACTCGCGGTCCCTTGACCCCTCCCCCACCCCTACAACACCAGTTCGTTTGCTCTGCTGAACAGTACACTCGCTCTCTCAATAACAAATCACTGCTGGTTTATAATGCTATCATCGATAAAGAAATTGACCTGATGTGCTTAACAGAAACCTGGCAGCAGCCAAATGACTTTATAGTGCTTAATCAAGCTAAACCACCAGGCTATGTGTAACTACAAAAACCTCGCTCTGTGGGTTGGGGGATTGATGTTATCCATCATACAGACTTCAAGGTTAAAGTCCTTCCCATACCCTATGCCACATATTTTGAATGTCTGGCATTTAGGCTGGCTGGTCCTCAACCTCTGTCAGTTTTGCTAATCTACCGCCCGTCCCAAACCCTCCTCTGTGTTCATCTCAGAGATCTCAGAGGTCCACACACCTGTCTGCTCCATGTCACCATCTAACCTACTGCTGGGTGACTTCAACATCCATGTCGACTCCAAAAGTTGTGCCTTTGCTGCCGAGTTCCTGTCTCTCCTGGATTGTTTCAACATCACACAGCATGTGCAGTTTTCCACATACAGTGAGGGAAAAAAGTATTTGATCCCCTGCTGATTTTGTACGTTTGCCCACTGACAAAAAGAAATGATCAGTCTATAATTTTAATGGTAGGTTGATTTGAACAGTGAGAGACAGAATAACAACAACAAAATCCAGAAAAACGCATGTCAAAAATGTTATAAATTGATTTGCATTTTAATGAGGGAAATAAGTATTTGACCCCTCTGCAAAACATGACTTAGTACTTGGTGGCAAAACCTTTGTTGGCAATCACAGAGGTCAGACGTTTCTTGAGGTTGGCCACCAGGTTTGCACACATCTCAGGAGGGATTTTGTCCCACTCCTCTTTGCAGATCTTCTCCAAGTTATTAAGGTTTCGAGGCTGACGTTTGGCAACTCGAAGCTTCAGCTCCCTCCACAGATTTTCTATGGGATTAAGGTCTGGAGACTGGCTAGGCCACTCCAGGACCTTAATGTGTTTCTTCTTGAGCCAATCCTTTGTTGCCTTGGCCGTGTGTTTTGGGTCATTGTCATGCTGGAATACCTATCCACGACCCATTTTCAATGCCCTGGCTGAGGGAAGGAGGTTCTCACCCAAGATTTGACGGTACATGGCCCCGTCCATCGTCCCTTTGATGCGGTAAGTTGTCCTGTCCCCTTAGCAGAAAAACACTCCCAAAGCATAATGTTTCCACATCCATGTTTGACAGTGGGGATGGTGTTCTTGGGGTCATAGGCATCATTCCTCCTCCTCCTTCAAACACGGCAAGTTGAGTTGATGCCAAAGAGCTCGATTTTGGTCTCATCTGACCACAACACTTTCACCCAGTTCTCCTCTGAATCATTCAGATGTTCATTGGCAAACTTCAGACGGCCCTGTATATGTGCTTTCTTGAGCAGGGTTGACCTTGCGGGCGCCGCAGGATTTCAGTCCTTCACGGCGTAGTGTGTTACCAATTGTTTTCTTGGTGACTATGGTCCCAGCTGCCTTGAGATCATTGGCAAGATCCTCCTGTGTAGTTCTGGGCTGATTCCTCAACATTCTCATGATCATTGTAACTCCACGAGGTGAGATCTTGCATGGAGCCCCAGGCCGAGGGAGATTGACAGTTTTTTTGTGTTTCTTCCATTTGCGAATAATTGCACCAACTGTTGTCACCTTCTCACCAAGCTGCTTGGCGATGGTTTGTAGCCCATTCCAGCCTTGTGTAGGTCTACAATCTTGTCCCTGACATCTTTGGAGAGCTCTTTGGTCTTGGCCATGGTGGAGAGTTTGGAATCTGATTGATTGATTGCTTCTGTGGACAGGTGTCTTTTATACAGGTAACAAGATGAGATTAGGAGCACTCCCTTAAGACTGTGCTCCTAATCTCAGCTCGTTACCTGTATAAAAGACACCTGGGAGCCAGAAATCTTTCTGATTGAGAGGGGGTCAAATACTTATTTCCCTCATTAAAATTCAAATCAATTTATAACATTTTTGACATGCGTTTTTCTGGATATTTTTGTTGTTATTCTGTCTCTCACTGTTCAAATAAACCTACCATTAAAATTATAGACTGATCATTTTTTTGTCAGTGGGCAAACATACGAAATTAGCAGGGGATCAAATACTTTTTTCCCTCACTGTATGACAAAGGTCATGTTCTGGATCTCGTGTGCTCGACAGACTTTGCCCCCTTCAACCTGCGTGGCCTGGATCCTACCATCTCAGACCACTTTGCCATCCTCTGTAATGTGCCTTTCCCCCTAACCAAGTTGCGACAAAAACTGACCATTACATACAGGAACATAAAGTCTCTCAGAAACAGGCTTCAAACACTCAACAATCCTCATCCTTCTATCCTCGGCCGAGGAGCTCGTGTCTCACTATGACACACTCCTCTTCCCCAGCCTTAGAATAATTGATTGGATTTATATAGCGCTTTTCTACCAACTGAGGTACTCAAAGCGCTTTACATAGTAGGGGGAAACTCACCTCATCCACCACCAATGTGTAGCACCCACCTAGGTAATGCACAGCGACCATTTTTGTGCCAGAACGCTCACCACATATCAGCTATCAGGTGGAGAGGTGAGGAGTGATATCTGCCAATTAGGAATGAGGGGGATGATTAGGTGGCCATGATGGAATGGGGCCAGGTTGGGAATTTTGCCATGACACTGGGGTTAACACCTCTACTTTTCCAATAAGTGCGATGGGATTTTTAATAAACACAGAGAGCTACATTCTTCCCCTGGGCCAGATCTTCCGCCACCATGGTCTCAGCTTCCACTCCTATGCGGATGACACCCAGCTTTACATCCACACCAAACCCACTTCTCCCTCCCCCGTCTCTGATCAACAGTCTCCAGGATATAAAACACTGGATGACATCTAATCTACTCAAACTCAACAGCTATACAACTGAGGTCATGCTGGTGGCTTCCAAGGCTCTCCTCAAAAAAGTGGGTGACCTATTGTTGTCCATTGAGGGCTGCTCCATCTGCCCTCCTCCGAGGTCAGAAATCTGTGTGTCATCCTGGACCCCACTCTCTCCTTCGAGCCTTACATCAACTACCTCACCAATTCCTCCTTTTTCCACCTCCGTAACATCTCCCGATTCCGACCATCCCTCACGGACCCAGTAGCGGAGCCCCTCATACATGCTTTTGTCACATCATGTCTGGACTACTGCAATGGAGTCCTATTCAAGGTGTCCAGCAAAGCACTGGATAGGCTCCAGTACATCCAGAACTCCACTGCCAGGGTCCTCACATGCACCAAACCCTGGGAACTCATCACCCCCACTCTGCTCCACCTTCATTGGCTCCCTGTCAAATTCCGCATCCCCTACAAGATCCTACTCCTCACCTACAAGGCCCTCCATGGCCTTGCCCCCTCATACCTCTCCGACCTCCTCCACACACACACGCCTCCCGCTGTCTCTGTTCCTCTGACTCTGGACTACTCACCATCCCAAAAATAAGACTGTGCACCACGGGGGACCGGGCATTCAGCGCCGCTTCTCCTAAACTCTGGAACACTCTCCCCCCAGCCACCTGCAATTCTGACTTCATCACCACTTTCAAAAACGGACTCAAACACCACCTGTTCGGCCTGGCTTTCCCTCAGCTTAGCTCTGCCTAACTCAGATCTAGCTAAGCTAAGCAGCTTTTCAATTTTAGAGATCATATCAAGGGAATGTACTGTGCATGCATAATCTTCAAGGGGTTGCAGGCAGCAATGGGGAATTGCAAGGAATGTCCAGCCAGTCTGCAGTTCAGTATAAGTTTGCAGTCCAGTCAGAATTCCAATAGTACAGAACAATTACCTATACAGGTTCGACCGTCAAAGCCAAACTCGTAGCCGCTCTGGCATTGGCAGCGATGGCTCCCTGGCAGGTTGAAACACTGGGCGTGGGCACCGCACAGGGTAAGGCCCTCAACGCACTCATCCACATCTGAGGGAGACGAGAGAGAGAACAGAACTGTTATGTCACAGTTATAGTATCATCAGACCATCAGTTTGAGTAGATTCTCTGTCCGTTTCCACTGCTGAGACCAGACTTGGGTTCAGTGGCATCATTAGGCCTGGGTTTCCGAGGCTTCAGTCCCGGATGTTTTTGATAACATTTCAGTCTGATATGAGTTTCAATTTGCAGTATAAATTTTTTTTGTTTTACTGACACATTTTACTGAAAAAAATAAACATGACAATATGCTGCGCTAGGCAGTACCAGGTACTGCAAAAAGCACCTGGAGAGACACGGTGCCTGCTGTGATTGGTCAAGACTTCACAACGCAGTGAAACACTCATGTCCCTTGACCCCTCCCCACCCCTACAGCACCGGTTAGATGTCAATGTCATCACTCAGCAAAATGCCTGTCAGCCAATCAGAGTCTGCAGCATAGCAAAGAGCAAATATGGATATTCGGAACTATATCCGAAAGAGTTCAGGTTGAGCAGGTTGAGGCATCAGTGAATGAGGTGGAGAGAAAGTCATAGTGCAGTAGCAGCGGCAGAGTTAGCCAGAGGTTTGCGCAGGGTTGGTGGTAGCTAACTAGCTAGTCTCCCTCAGCATAAGGGTTGGCTAATGCTAATAAGCTAGTGTTAGCGCTCAGCATCCTTAAGCTATTGGGTGTCAGTCAGAGTTATTTAACAGTATATTTAGTGAATGGGCAAGCTGGATGCTGATATAAGTCATGATATTAGGAAAAGTGATTATTTACAGCTAGTGTATTTGATGGGTTTCGCTTCTTCAGCTTGCTTGGCTGGCTAGCCACTTCAGTAGCTGCTGGCTAGCTAGCTGAGACCGAATAGATGAGAGAATGTTTTTCTGACTGAAGCATATATCTTCAGACAGTGACACAGTGCCCACCTGTGGACTGAAGCTGAACTTTACTACAACTTTATATTTAACCCTGTTTAAACCCTGTTTAATTTACATAAATATTCACACCTCTGTGTCAATACTTTGTAGAAGCACCTTCAGCAGTGATTACAGCTGTGAGTCTTTTTGGGTAAGTCTCTACTGGATTGTGCAACATTTGCCCATTATTCTTTTCAAAATTCTTCAACCTCTGTCAAATTGGTTGTTGATCATTGCTAGACAACCATTTTCAGGTCTTGCCATAGACTTCAAGTAGATTTAAGTCAAAACTAACTCGGCCACTCAGGAACATTCACTGTATTCTTGGTAAGCAACTCCAGCAAATCCTTGTGTTATAGGTTATTGTCCTGCTGAAAGGTGAATTAATCTCCCAGTGTCTGGTGGAAAGCAGACTGAACCAGGTCTAGGATTTTGCCTGTGCTTAGCTCCATTCCGTTTAATTTTTGTCCTGAAAAACTCCCCAGTCCTTAACGACTACATGCATACCCATAACATGATGCAGCCACCATTATGCTTGAAAATATGGAGAATGTTACTCAGTAATGTGTTGTATTGGATTTGCCCCAAACATAACACTTTGTATTCAGGACTATAAAGTTAATGGCTTTGCCACATTTTTGGCAGTATTACTTTAGTGCCTTGTTGCAAACAGGATGCATGTTTTGTAATATTTGTATTCTGTAAAGGCTTCCTTCTTTTCACTCTGTCAATTAGTTTAGTATTGTGGAGTAACTACAATGTTGTTGATCCATCCTCAGTTTTCTCCTATCACAGCCATTAAACTCTGTAACTGTTTTAAAATCACCATTGGCGTCATGGTGAAATCCCTGAGCGGTTTCCTTCCTCTCCGGCAACTGAGTTAGGAATGACGCTCATATCTTTGAAGTGACTGGGTGTATTGATACACTATTAAAAGTGTAATTAATAACTTCACCATGATCAAAGGGATTTTCAATGTGTGCATTTATTTTTACTCATCTACCAAGACATGTAGGTGCCCTTCTTTGCGAGGCATTGGAAAACCTCCCTGGTCTTTGTGGTTGAATCTGTGTTTGAAATTCACTGCTCGACTGAGGGACCTTACAGATAATTGTATGTGGGAGGTACAGAGATGAGGTAGTCATTCATAAATCATGTTAAACACTATTATTGCACACAGGTTGAGTCCATGCAACTTATTACAGTGCCTTGCAAAAGTATTTACCCCCCTTGTTGCATTACAACCTGTAATTTAAATTGATTTTAATTTTAATTTCATGTAATGGACATACACAAAATAGTCCAAATTGGTGAAGTGAAATGAAAATAATAACTTGTTTCAAAAAATTCAAAAAAATAAATAACTGAAAAGTTGTGAGTGCATATGTATTCACCCCCTTTGCAATGAAGCCCCTAAATAAGATATGGTGCGACCAATTACCTTCAGAAGTCACATAATTAGTGAAATAAAAGTACACCTGTGTGCAATCTGTGTCACATGATCTGTCACATAATCTCAGTATATATACACCTGTTCTGAAAGGCCCCAGAGTCTGCAACACCACTAAGCAAGGGGCACCATTAAGACCAAGGAGCTCTCCAAACAGGTCAGGGACAAAGTTGTGGCGAAGTACAGATCAGGGTTGGGTTATAAACAAATATCAGAAATGTTGACCATCCCACGGAGCACCATTAAATCCATTGTAAAAAAAAATGGAAAGAAAATGGCACGACAACAAACCTGCCAAGAGAGGGCCGCTCACCAAAACTCATGGACCAGGCAAGGAGGGCATTAATCAGAGAGGCAACAAAGAGACCAAAGATAACCCTGAAGGAGCTGCAAAGCTCCACAGCGGAGATTGGAGTATCTGTCCATAGGATCACTTTAAGCCGTATACTCCACAGAGCTGGGCTTTACGGAAGAGTGTCCAGAAAAAAAGCCATTGCTTAAAGACAAAAGCCATGTGGGAGACTCCCCAAACATATGGAAGAAGATACTCTGGTCAGATGAGACGCTATGTCTGGCGCAAACCCAACATCTCTTATCACCCCGAGAACACCATCACCACAGTGAAGCATGGTGGTGGCAGCATCATGCTGTGGGGATGTTTTTCATCGGCAGGGACTGGGAAGCTGGTCAGAATTGAAGAAATGATGGATGGCGCTAAATACAGGGAAAATCTTGAGGGAAACATGTTTTAGTCTTCCAGAGATTTGAGACTGGGACGGAGGTTCACCTTCCAGCAGGACCCTAAGCATACTGCTAAAGCAACACTCGAGTGGTTTAAGGGGAAACCTTTAAATGTCTTGGAATGGCCTAGTCAAAGCCCAGATCTCAATCCAATTGAGAATCTGAGGTATGACATAAAGATTGCTGTACACCAGTGGAACCCATCCAACTTGAAAGAGATGAAGCAGTTTTGCCTTGAAGAATGGGCAAAACTCCCAGTGGCTAGATGTGCCAAGCTTATAGAGACATACCCCAGAAGTGATGGAGTGCTGCATCAGATGACCTGGCCTCCACAATCACTCGACCTCAACCCAAATGAGATGGTTTGGGATGGGTTGGACCGCAGAGTGAAGGAAAAGCAGCCAACAAGTGCTCAGGATACAGTGGGGAAAAAAAGTATTTAGTCAGCCACCAATTGTGCAAGTTCTCCCACTTAAAAAGATGAGAGAGGCCTGTAATTTTCATCATAGGTACACGTCAACCATGACAGACAAAATGAGATTTTTTTTTCCTGAAAATCACATTGTAGGATTTTTAATGAATTTATTTGCAAATTATGGTGGAAAATAAGTATTTGGTCAATAACAAAAGTTTCTCAATACTTTGTTATATACCCTTTGTTGGCAATGACACAGGTCAAACGTTTTCTGTAAGTCTTCACAAGGTTTTCACACACTGTTGCTGGTATTTTGGCCCATTCCTCCATGCAGATCTCCTCTAGAGCAGTGATGTTTTGGGGCTGTCGCTGGGCAACACAGACTTTCAACTCCCTCCAAAGATTTTCTATGGGGTTGAGATCTGGAGACTGGCTAGGCCACTCCAGGACCTTGAAATGCTTCTTGCGAAGCCACTCCTTCGTTGCCCGGGCGGTGTGTTTGGGATCATTGTCATGCTGAAAGACCCAGCCACGTTTCATCTTCCATGCCCTTGCTGATGGAAGGAGGTTTTCACTCAAAATCTCACGATACATGGCCCTATTCATTCTTTCCTTTACACGGATCAGTCGTCCTGGTCCCTTTGCAGAAAAACAGCCCCAAAGCATGATGTTTCCACCCCCATGCTTCACAGTAGGTATGGTGTTCTTTGGATGCAACTCAGCATTCTTTGTCCTCCAAACACGACGAGTTGAGTTTTTACCAAAAAGTTCTATTTTGGTTTCATCTGACCATATGACATTCTCCCAATCCTCTTCTGGATCATCCAAATGCACTCTAGCAAACTTCAGACGGGCCTGGACATGTACTGGCTTAAGCAGGGGGACACGTCTTTGCACTGCAGGATTTGAGTCCCTGGCGGCGTAGTGTGTTACTGATGGTAGGCTTTGTTACTTTGGTCCCAGCTCTCTGCAGGTCATTCACTAGGTCCCCCCGTGTGGTTCTGGGATTTTTGCTCACCGTTCTTGTGATCATTTTGACCCCACGGGGTGAGATCTTGCGTGGAGCCCCAGATCGAGGGAGAATATCAGTGGTCTTGTATGTCTTCCATTTCCTAATAATTGCTCCCACAGTTGATTTCTTCAAACCAAGCTGCTTACCTATTGCAGATGCAGTCTTCCCAGCCTGGTGCAGGTCTACAATTTTGTTTCTGGTGTCCTTTGACAGCTCTTTGGTCTTGGCCATAGTGGAGTTTGGAGTGTGACTGTTTGAGGTTGTGGACAGGTGTCTTTTATACTGATAACAAGTTCAAACAGGTGCCATTAATACAGGTAAAGAGTGGAGGACAGAGGAGCCTATTAAAGAAGAAGTTACAGGTCTGTGAGAGCCAGAAATCTTGCTTGTTTGTAGGTGACCAAATACTTATTTTCCACCATAATTTGCAAATAAATTCATTAAAAATCCTACAATGTGATTTTCTGGAGA